CGGTACAGTTGCGACAATTTACTAGGTTACGTGTGCGTGTATGTGTGCGTACTCGTTAAATCGCTATGACTTCGATGTAAAATATATATATCCTTCCCTATCGAGTTACACGCTGAAACCCTCGTCATTGTAACATCGTTCGCGTGTCCAATGGTTCAGGAATTTAACACCTACACACACACACACACAAAACACACTTTATATGTATCTACCCGAGCAACGATCTATATACCTTCCAACTCTCTTCCAACTGATATCTTTAATTAAAAGAAACATGCACAAGACGCGCGTCTGCGAGCGAGACGCCATAAATGTTCTCTCTTTCGCAAAAGTCAATTTGAACTGGCTTAGGGGCTCCATCAGCGTTCGCCTGCGTTCATAGGCGCGCGCGCGCGCGCATCTGTATATCGGTAAATAGCTGCATAGATACGCGCGTATCTCGCACCGCATGATGTACAAGCGCAGGCACGTAACGCGCGATACGACCCGACTACGGGCGGAGATATACGGTGGAAGAAGGCATCGACCCGCGGCTTTTATGAAGATAACATCTCTGCTTATGAAGCATAGCTTATCTACCGACCTCGCCATAGATCTTTCAGCGCGTACGGAAGCCCTCCTTGCTGCCTGTATAACCAGCCGCACCACCATCATCGCCGGGACCAGACCGCCTTCCATAATCCATTATAGTTTCTAAAACGGCCCGCAGCCACCGGGAAATGCGAGCCCGCGTTGCAGCAAGAAGCTGTTTACGAGGCGCGCGCGACGCGACGCGACGCGACGCGAAAACTCGCGAAACACGTGCGTCCGCGTGCACGCGAGTGCACTACGTGACTCGCTACGCGATGATTTACTCACGTGTGGGCCGCTGCTTATCCTCGATTGTTTTTCAACCGCCGCTACGGTATCGTCGATTGGAGCCAGAAATCGTGGACCGCGAGGGCTATACCATACACTTCGTCGAGACGCGATGAAAACTCCTCCTTGGACGTTGGACTTCGAATCGAACTTGCAAAAGTCTCACGTCTCGTGTGTTTGAAAGAGGAAGATACAACAGCAGAAGAATAATCAGATCTCTCGTTAGTCAATTAATGCGGCAGATTTTCCAACGTACCAACGTTGCTCTGCATTAATTTCTTATGATTTCTCAAATGAAAATTTAAGTATGTTTGTTAGCTTAAATTCCAAACGATGAAAAATGCTAAGTGATGATGCGAAAAGATATTTATCGACATATGTCAGATATAAGTCAAACATTTCGAATCGAGTCGGCCATTACTGGAAGTTCCGGAAATACTGACTCCTTAAAGATTAAAAGAAGGATCTTTGTAACATAAGCATTTCGGAATTTTCGTAACGTATCGATGACGCTGAAATCTTGAGATATCTTGGGAGTAGTCAAACTCTCAAAAGAATCTGAGGGAATTTACGGATACACAAGAGTACGTACATTCGAGAGAATCTCGCATGAACAAAAGGAACAGCTGTCGCAAATATCGATGACTTCGCGCGTAAAGGAAACGTTTAGAAACATCGGAGATACCTACGAAGAAATATTGCGAATATTGTTAATTCAGCACGATTATAAAGATGCATTTCTCTCTTCTATTAATTCTTTAGCATAGTTTACAACGGCCCGTCGCGTCGGGGACAGATTTTTCAGAAAGACGCGCCCTTCCCAAGAGAGCAATCCGTTAGTTTATCGGCACTCTATCTCCATTCTTACACGACGCAGGACACGACACTCTTAAGGGCAGCATGAAATATCCTAAAGGACATTTATGAGTCTCAATATCTGCATTTATCGTCAGAAACGCATGAGCACTTTCAGCGTTGCCGTTACTTTCGCCGCTGGTTCTCAAACTGCAGAGTACGAGGAAATTCCAAGAGACGCGGGTGTCCAACTGAGGGAGAAGAGCCAAGACTATAATTAAAAAAAAAAAGTTGCAAAAAGAGCGCCGTTCGATCAAATCCTCATCAGACATGTAAATTGCATCTTCGTTGTGTGCGGAGCGCACACGTCTTTGTTTTCTTTTTTAACGGCAGATAAAACAGATAAGAAGAGTCTCCTCGCCGTGCCCGGACTGATTATCATTCCGCGGCGAATTTTTGCGAGAACGGTCGCCGATGTCGAGAGTACCGACGAGGCGAGATTGAAGGGATCAGGAGCCTCCGTGCACCACGGGCGCGCCTCGTCTCGCCTCCAATTTCCCGAAGGATCCCTCGGACACGTTGCAACTCAGTGTGTAATGCGTACGTAAGCAGCGCGGCTTCAACATTAAACGGTCACTTCTTTCTCTTTTCGCAGCGCTACACCCATCAAACCGCATTCCTCGCGAAAGTTGCGGCGCGCATCGTACGCACGGCGGCCACGGCGGCGAGTAGCAGCGCACCGGGATTATCTGCGAGAGAGAGCATGTTAATGAAAAGACGTCCGTTCGCGCAGATGCACGAGCCGCCGCGCCGGCGGGGAGGATGACGGTTCCGAGAGGCGTAGAGAAAGGCGCGTTGACTTCCGATGATTAATGTGACGTTATATTGTCCGTTACATACGCATATACCACGGACACGCTTGTACCGCGCGCTTTACAGAATGTAATAAAGAATAAACTTTAATGAGCGCTCGCGCGTGACGGGCGAGCAGGTGCGTCAGGTGCACAGAGACGCGCAGCGCGCGTCGTGAGCGTATCTTACACGTGCGCTGTCTGTCGGGGAAAGATGCGATATCGGCGAGCGGAAAGGACGGAAAGCGCGTAAATTTTTAACACATCGGACACCGGGAGAAAAATCTTCCGGCGCGAGCGTTTCGTTTCGGGGAACATACGATCGCTCTCGGCCGCGCATAATGGATGTATGACGGCTCGTTAATGAGAATTTGTCGCAATTCTCTCGTCGCGAGGCTCTCTTCGTAACAAATTAATTTTAACAAGATCAAGAGAGAGAGAGAGAGAAACGATACGATGTACTTCTCTGCGGTGAGGAAAGAACATCTCCTCTCTTCTCTTCTCTCTCTTGTGGTTTCCAGGTAAGGAGCGACCTTTTTTCTCATCGAAGAGAGAGAGAGAGAGAGAGAGAGAGAGAGAGAGAGAGAGAGAGAGAGAGAGAGAGAGAGAGAGAGAGAGAGTACACGCCGGTCTCGATTATATTCTTCCGAGGCTTCGCTTGCAACGGGATTAACCGTATGGAATGAGTATGAAGAAATCACGATGAAGACCTCGCCTCGTCCCACCTCACTACGCCTCGCTCGACCTCGCCTCGTCAGCTTCGCCGCGGCAACTCCGCGGCACAACTTCGCGGGTATCTTCTTCTCCCGCCGAGAGTTTACCGGACGTTTCGCGTCCGTGTGTATGCGATTCCATCGCGCCGCTCGCTTCATCCCCGTTTTCCGCAGTTCGCGGCAGGGAGCGTGATAAATGCTCCGACACTGACATCAGAAAAATACACTCTCGTTTCTTTAACACATCGGTGCCCCGGCAACCCCTTATCTCCCGGCTCAAGCCACTCTCCTTCTGAGAAATGGCTTGTTAAAAAAAAAAAGAACAGGAGAGAGGAGGAAAAAGAGGAGAAAGGAAAAACCGACCAGTCGGATTTTTACGCCGGCTATTTACGTCTATTACGGCCTAACGATCCCCGAGACCGACCGCACGCGATATAACTCGAGGAACAGGAGGAACAGGCGGAGTAACGAGAGGGGGAGGGGAGCAGAATTAATATGCACGGTGAATACTGCAGGATGCAGGATGAGCAAACACCTCCTGTGCTGACGGCGTAGCGTCTTTAATATACATCCTTTATACATTGTGTACAAATGTACATTAGTAAGTACAGAACAGAGAAACAATCGTATCGTTCGTGTATCGCTGTTTCAGCGTGAATATTAACGTGTGCAATCTGTCCGTTCTCTCGCGACGCGAGTCATTTATCGTTCAATCACGACTTATGTCTTATGATTCAAGTGAAAGATTTTGTATGTACATTTACTTTTGCAGTCATGTCAATATTATAAAGTAAAAAATGGCGAATGAATTAAGCTTATATATATATATATATATAGGTATTTGCCGTGATCACAGTAGTTACAGTTAATCATTATTGATTCTCATTGCACATTTCGCTTCCTCTTCTTTCTTTCTTTTGCTTCCAACATATTGAACACTCGTAATTGGGACATGGACATATATTGCACTAATTATCAAAATTAAAATGTTACTACATTCTGTATAGTGAAGATGTGATATTAAGGATGTCATATCTGCACTATACACGATACATAAAAAATGTCATTTGTGAGAGAAACAATGGAAATAACGTATCGACTTGGTAAGCATTCGTGTCATGCGTACGCTTGGTTTCAATACGGCTTGGACACTATTTCCTCAATGTGGCTCGGCACACAGTCCCAGAATTTAACTTCTGGGGGTTGATCGAACATCAGATTTCTCTCATTGGAAATCGTTCAGACCATTTTGAAACCGAGTATACATAACAAGTATACCGCGCTCTTCGAGTACATATGTCTGTAATCACGAGGTAACAGGGTACGAAAAGCACGGTTGTGAAAGTAAGGACAAATTGACGGAAAATATCGTATTATTCTCAGGGCAAGAATAACGATCTCGCTTTGATAATTCGTCCTCGTGAATGCATAACTTAACAATATAAGTAATATTATTTGCGTGTAGTTTGATCGTTGCTAACAACTACGTTACAAACTAAAATATACATATTAGATCTTTTAACGTATAATAAACACTTATAACGAACGAAAACAATTGTATGTACGCAAGGATTATATTCCATGATGTTTAAAGTTTTCTAAGTATTTGATGTCGATTTTTACAGAACGGGCATTTTTTACATTTATTTATTGTAAGATTGCACTTTCAAAATGAAAATTTTTGTAAGATCCACCCTTCTGGTATATTTTACTAAAATTTGAATCGTAAAAAAGAACTCGTCTCGAAAAAGTTAAATAATAATCTTTAAATAATAATCTTGGTAATATAATTTTAAATTAAAATTTTCTGTTGCGAAATGCCATCATAAATTTTACGCTTTTTTGGTTCATTACAATATTATTCTTACTTAATACACCGGATTATTTTAATTTTTATTATCTTTCTGTCTCAGTATTAAGCCAACGATATTATTTTTAATGTCTTATGCGTGCGATTGTACGAATGAAGTATTAAAAAACTATTAAGAACTATTTAAAAATTATAAAAAATTATAAAAAAAGAGCTATTTAAAATCATGTCATATCTGAGAAGTCATTTTACTTGAAAAATAATCCGGTTGCTTCTCGCAACAAATGGCAGTCGGGTTTACTGAAAAAGTGAAAAATATGCAAATACGGAATATTACAGGGAACGATGTCGTACATTACGAAGCTGAGAGCATAGTTCCTTCTTATTCCACTTTGGGCCGCGACGTTATTCTGCGAATGTTCACGTATGTTTCACAACGTCCGCATTAAGTAAAATTCGCAGTTTGCGAGTAAATAACATTTTCATGCCGAACATAACTTTTTGTAAAAGTAATAAAAGTAGTCTGATCGTCGTTGTGTACGTGATTATCACAGAGCGGGTGGTAGGTTGCGTGCAACCAATTTATGACAACGGAGAGAAGAGGCAGTCGCTGATTAACTTAAAAATGGAACTTATTATCACCTCCAGTAACGTGATCGCTTGGACAACTGCCAATCCGTGTAATATCAAAATGAGCGTCTCTATTTTATACGTGTTCCAAAACTTGTCCATCAGCGCAAAGTAAATACGTCGTGATGCCCGAATACTGAATCCGCTCAGTCTTTCCATCGTGTGATGTAGCTTGGCGTGTTCACTGCAGAGCCGTTCTGTAAAGATAAGTCGATAAAAGTTATCGTAAAATAAAATGTAACGTCTCCGACTAATTGAGAACGATAATTCGATTGCATAATTGCTCCGGCATCAAAATCAATCGTGAATCACATTTTGACCTCTTAACTCGTGGTCTACAAGACGAATCCAAATAATTGCGATCTTTCTGTGTCGAGTTCGACGAATCTGGCAAGTTTCTCTCAGAAAAAGACACATTCCGTTCACATTCCTTTTTCGCATTTTTTTCAGATTCTTGACATATCGAGTGAAGAGGAGATGTGGACGCTTGATATTACAACAAAGCGAAAAGGCTACATTACCTGTGTCATGATGAGGTTCTTCCAACGGTGGCGGTAAGTACTTGTCCAACATGATTTCAGCGAAATCGGTGGTGTTGTCCACAGTCTTTAGAATATTGATACCTGTCTCGGTCGACATGACTCTATCCGCTTGCTGCCAACTGTAGACTCTTAAGTAATGTACCTTGTAATATGTAAGTAAAGTCATGATCCTCACTCGCTGCTTGGTCTCATATGTCAGATCGGTAAAAGTTTTCACTGCTGGACGAAGACGTTCAGATACTATGGACCTGGTACGATTTAATATCTATAACGAGACAAGAATGTATCAGTCGTACAATATAAGATCAAACATCGAGCTAAGTACGCAGACAGAGAATTGCGTTACCTGTTTAGGCTCCTCTTTGATAATAGGCAGCTTCACCTCGACGAAATCAATGCCTTGGCACAGTGTTTTGTCCAGGGTGTATATCGGTTTCTCGATCAATCTGGCAACTGGCAAAGATTTTTCTATCATCACGTTCACCATGCTCTCAACAGTGTCGAACGCCCAATTCACAAATGTGTTAGCCCCTTTCACACGTCCGTACACCTCTGTGGATTTGTCCCACAAGTAATTGACGCTGGGTATCTTACGAGCACGATGAACAGCTTGAATGCGATAAAACTGCTCTGAGAGTTCTGTATCCATAGCTATGATCAAGCTGAGATCTCCTTCTCATGGATAGAGCGATAGTAGCTCCTCGAATCCTCGTGACAGTGAAATCTGCAAAGGGAAAAATGGAATTCAAAGTGAAATAAGAATTATCGCATATCGAACTACGAATAATAAACGCCTCTGTCTGGTCTCCTCTCACATATCACTTATGTATACTCCTCCGATAAAATTTCCCGATTTATATATTTGTTTATATATTATTTCCAACGAAGATCATAAAAGTAATCAAGTTTCTTTCGTTCGCGCGAAGCATTCCTTCGAACACCGGCCATTGCATCATAAATCTTATTATAGTCTATTGCTCCGCAAGCAGCACACAATTCAACAATTCAACAATGAAAATAAATTACACAACTCAAACTACTCTTTATGACACACCGTTCCCTCAGCGACTTATGTGACTCGTAGCTCAAGCGAGACGCACGTACAGCATTTGCAAGAAAATAAAAAAGGAAATAGGACACTAGAAAGCACTGGCCACAAACGAAAGTAATATCACGTTACGTTCGGAGCGGTTACAAAGTACCAGTTGTAGAATTGCTGCACGCGGCTTACTACGTCTCATTGTTGCGCGCGATCGATCGCGCACTGTAACATGCGGGTCGACGTGCGAGCGGTTATAGAGTATGCACCCCTCAAGATCAATGTCACGGACGCACGGAATTGACAGGTGACCCGGCCGACGTGACACAACAGAGGAAACCTCGACGACACTTACGACCGACGCGATCGTCGCGGCACGACGTGCGAGCTCCTCTCTAGTATCTCTCTCTCTCTCTCTCTCTCTCCCCCCCCTCTCTCTGTGTGTGTGTGTGTGTATGTGTATGGCTTTGTTTCGTCTGTCTCTCCCTGTCTCTCAAGCGCTACCACGCATGCTGCACTTTGAGCTCTGACTCATTTTACTGCGAAATTTGTTGACTCGGCCAGCGGGCCGCGATCGCGAGTTCAAATTATTTATACACTTCCAACCAAGTCCGTTTGCCCTCTGTCATTTTTCACTGTGCGATATCGACGAAACAGATGCCGACGGCTACCTCGAGAACGCGCTGCAAACGCTACGAAATGGCGTCCCGCTCCGCTTTTCCGAGCAAACTCCAATTGAATGGTCGGTAACGGACTCGTGCGAAACGATTTATGGTGAAGGAAGGAGTGAATTTCTTTCTTATTTTTTTTCTTTAATTTTCGCGAAATTTAGAAATATCGTTCGCGGCTCAACACTATTTGAATTCGATATACCAATTTTCCAGTCACGTTTGTGAATATATCCCAAAATTGATTATTCCGAATTTTATTTAAAAGTATCATTCGATGATGTAAATTTAGCGATATAATCTTACTGTGTAGATCGATATATGAAAAATGACACGTAATAAATTACAAATGCTTAATCTCGGCCTCTTTTGAGAGATAACAAGTGTTTAAATTTTACTCAATTCGCACACAAGAAATTGAATGAGTCATCATGACTCATAAGTGCTCCGAATTAAGATTTCTATTTTGAATTTTCATTATATAGGGTGTCTATATATATAAGGACTGTCTCTCCCTGCCACTTCCCTGCCAAAAATCATCATAATTTTTCACAGTTGATTCCTATATTTCTTAATTTTCAAATTGACCACAGTTAAGTATAGATACAAACAATGTTTTCATCAGAGCTGTAAGCTTGTAAAGTGTATATAGTGTTACATCTCATACTTTAAAAAAAATATATATATATGTATTTACATTTATATACATATATATCTTTTACATTCGTAGCAGTCCTTCGAAATAACATGCTTTGTGATGCTTAAAAATATTTGTACATTATACAATTAACGACTAAATTTATCATTAAGAAGAAATTTCACTCGTTTTCCATAGGCATAGAGACATGGTGAAATTTTGCAACTTATTTCAATATAAATCTTCAAGTGCACGAGAAATATCGCTAAAATACACATGTGCAATTTTATCTTAGTACATATCACACAATTCATTTTGTGATTGTGGATTTTATCCTGATTGTGGATTAGGATAAAAGAAAAGGAAAAAGAAAAGTCATACATATCATAAGTATATCATAAGTAAAACATAAAACTTACACGAGTATCCGAAAATAGGTACATTAATTCACTCGTTACGTTCGTCCGTAAAGATCTAATATTTTAGCATTCTATAAAGATTTGCCCGTTATTAACGAATTTTACATTTATAATAGCATTTTCTTATTGAAAGAAATATTAATAAATTTTTCAATAAATATGTGAAACTTGCATGAATAAAGTATACTGTAGAATTTTACCTCTTACATCGCTTATGTTTCTGCAAACATTCGAAAATCTTAAAAATTAGAGACGAATGAATTAATTAAATTGTACATCAAATGATGAGATAGATATACGAGGTATTTTCAAATTTCAAGCTTATTTTTCCTGCACCTCCTTATTATTCGATTAACTGCTTGACTGTGTCTCCTTTGTCTCATCGCTTAGTTTCTGCCCATTGTTCAAGAAGTGCGTAAGATGGAGAATAGATACGACGCTAGATATGTATGCTCCTACATCTTCCTTCTTTACTGTCCTCAATTGCGCAGCAACCGAATGATAGACGCGATTAGCGGTTTTTTTCGACAGATGGCCAATAGTCTGCACCGCATGAAGCACCTTGTTTTCATCTGCCGAGACTGGATCTGAAATAACATCATTCGTTAAATAACGATTCTGACCTTAGATAGACTAGATAGATTAGATAACATAAAATCACTTATTTATTCAATTGTATTGTAATTCTTTATTTATTCAAATTTACCTCTTTGATTTTACGTCAATTTTATTTTATATTATATTTATAGGTGGCATCTTTGTGTAAACAGACCGAATAAATAATTCAGCGAAAAATTTATAAGCTTAAATAATAAATTTGTAACAAACGAAAATTTATCGACATAAATAGATACAATCGTATTTTTTTCGCGAAGGTTATCAAATGATTTACCGGTTATCAAACGATTTATTTTTAAACGTGAAAATAAAATCTTTCTTATCAACAGATCGATGTCACGTAAACACGAGCAGCTCTATGTTTGGATTATATAAGACTGCGTATGGTTGCACACCATTAAACACGAAGCCAACGATAACAACTACTTTTCCGAAAATGAATAAAATTAGTTATAGTCAATATTTATATGACGGCATGTTGACATGAATATCAACATTCTGTATTAATCGTGCGATAATCTTATTACATTGCACGAGATAGTAAATAGCATTATAGACTTTTATCTCCTATATGATATACTTGGTTCATCTTTCTCTTCCTCCACAGCAGGGAAATAACGATCCAATAAACGATTGACGAGCACTTTGGTGTTGTCAACACCTTCCACAGCCTTATTGCCGCACGGTGTGTTCAGGAGGTCATTCGCTTTAACTATAGCGACCTCTTTCAGAGCATCTAGTTGTTGCGAGACTGATTGCTTGCTCGCGTTGAGTTTGTCGATGGTTGGCTGCAAGGAACTGCTCATAACCGCTTTAGCAGCGTCGTATATCTGCGAACAAATAATTTCATGATAAAATAGATTTCTCGAATGACATAACGCATGAATTAGACGGCTTCGTGCAAATCAAACGATTGCACGTTAATGTCCGTACGCATACTGATATGTACAAGTAAACGTTATTTCTTTAAACAACGCTGAAATACGTCCCCTCTGCTTCTGGACGTGGCTCATTCCTCTAAACTCACAGAATATGTGACGATAGATATTTCCGTGTACCTAGATGTTGCAAATATTATATGATCGATCAATGACTGCGCATTTAAATATAGTTGCTCCTGTTTTAGCCATCCGAAATTTAGCTCGTCAGCGAGCACTCGAGGCATTAAGAAGGCATTAAGAAATGACGGTGAGCGCTATTTAATCTTACGCGGCGTAATTCTTGTGCAAATATGACTCATCATTTTTTACACGATTCTAAACTCGTTCGTATTCACCGCTGAGATGTATTTCTCGAAAAATTTTTACACGATTCTAAACTCATTCGTATTTACCGCCGAGATGTATTTCTCGAGAAATTCTGCGTAAATATTTGAAGATCTCCGAGAAACGCGGTCTTCGCAAACACATTGCGCGCTCACTCTCGACAAAAGGTCGCTCAGTCTCTCTTAGTCTTCCTTTACCTGCTGCGGCGGTTGCTTCACCATCGGGACCTTTTGTTCGACGATGTCTAGCCCTTGGCACAGCTTTTGGTCAACGGCGTTAATCTGTCCCTCGAATTTCTTCGCCAAGGGAGCTGCGATTGGCGTCGCAGTGGCGGTCGCATAATGCAGCCCTGCTTCGGCGTAGCTCAGCGCCCAGTTGATCAAATGATGGGAATCTTTAACGTAGGAATACGTGGAACCCGTCTTCTCGATAGCCGAGTGAACCACCGGGATATTTTTTACTCGATCGATCACCTCGAGACGAGGAGAGCTCTCGGAGTTAGATGCGGGTTTGTTCGCATCCGCCATTCTTTCTGTAAATGCAATAACGCGTTAAAGAATACACAACAGTTGGCATATTGGTTATATCCGAAGAATAGCGTAGTCAAGTTGTGAAATTTGCCTTCAAGAAACGTATATATTGAATCGTACAAATGTCAGACGTTTGTATGTGCGGAAACAAATTTATGAGACTACGCACTTTGCTCAATCTTTCTTTTGAATTTCATCGTGCTTCAAGATTTGAACTACGTCATTCTAGGTTAGGTATGTATGTGTTATGTGTAATTTATACATACAAAAAGGTGATATAAAATGAAAAACACTAACGAGCAAGGACATGCCATGCGTCATCTTGTATGCGCATCTCAATCAGATTCGCGATTAATTAAATAGTGCGAGATTAAAAAAAAATGTGTGAAGCAAATTACGGCAATAACGATTATGCTCGTCACTTCATGAGTAACGTTTGCAATATTTGCATTCCAAAGAGCGAATGGGTACAACGGTGAGTCAAATATTTTTTTTCCGGAGATCTTTGTACCTTCAGCAGTTTGCCAGTAGTTCCTCGTTATCTAAGCTCGTTAGCTCGATTTATCTTTATCTCTGACAGTGAGTCAAGCCAACCGTGTACTTTGATACTAATATATCGATACTAAATTTGACGGTTAAATGTGCTCCGTTTCCCCTCGAAACGCATCTGCACGTGCGATCGGCAACTTAATAAAAAAAGAAAATGAAAATGCACAACCGGTGCGTAAAATTGCCAATGACAATTTCTATTATAAATATTTATTAATAGACATATATTTTACATATATATATATTTATGGACGTGCATGTGCGAAGAATTGTGCCCAAACACATATAATCAAATGCAAAGAGAATTTCTTTGAGTGCCACGAGCTCGATTATACGAATCGATGTACTCAACTTGTCATAAGATAATGCGCATAATACATGATTCATCCGCTAGAACAGACGGAAGAATAATAATGGATTATTATTCTATTTTCCATTCTCTTTTTCATGCTTACATACTTGAAAATGTATCGGAAATAATTTAAAATTGTTGAAAAATCTCTCTCTGAAAAATTTGCGTCGCTTGACTTAAATAAAATGCTAATTTTACGTTCGACGACAATTTATATCGTGAGCTCTTGCCCTGTTCAAGATTATTGATGTTTGTTATAAAATATTCACTGTAGCTATGGATCAAGTTACGACGTACGATCAATCGTGTTCGAAAGGAACTGCTCAGCACTGCTCCATTGCCAATAAATGACATATAACATTACACAAGAACAAATTATCGCATAATAATGCAATGGTCAGTGTGTTCATCGCTTATCTTTTGTAACAAAAACTTTTTGTTTCACGCGATTACAAGTATTGTTATTCATTGAGTTAAACTATTGTTGTAAAATGCTTGTCTGTTAGAAATGACACAGCATTAAAATATGATACATGGGAAAATAAAACGAGAATGCGACAGAAACAGTAAACCAATAACGGTATGGTATTTTTTACAAATATTTTGCTGCTCTGAAAATAATTATCTCCTTTGCGGTACTTGTATATTTTATGATAAATATGACGACTGATCGAGATTCTATAACTTCCTTTACTTCTTTTATGCCATACTCACATTCTTGAAATACTCGTTGAAGAAAATTCTTCGACAATACTAACGAAATACCGGTCGCACAGCCGCTGTATTTCACACAAGACACCGGACAGAACTGACGTTATATCTGTGAGGGAACTCATAAGTGGTGAACATGGTCGGCAGGTGGGGTGAGTGAAACAGGGACGTTGAAATCACAGGTTCGCTTCAGGGAAAAGATAAAAGTAGAGATAGAAATTAATTCAGATTTGAAATTATGATTTTGAACAATCTCGTAAAACACAACCTCATGTGGAGTGAATTATAAAATGTCGAAAAATTCTTTCAACATCTCGTGAAATAAAATTCATCAACATGATCATGAAGTAAAACTTTTCGATTTTAAAGTAAATCTTGGAATATATATTTCGAACACAATCTAACACTATTTCTTTCATCAGTGAATCAACACTCATTACATCGTATTATCTATCTATTCGGCTGCATTATCAACATACTTCGCTCTATAATTTGCAACCGTAAGATCGTTTCAACGTAGTCGTTATTATGTACGCAGCTGCATTTATACATGATTTTACTTTTCTCTGCTGTGTCTCAATCTTATCGATAACTTGACTATGATGCTTGACACACTTTTGCAGCTGGGTTCTTCGTGATACGTGTACGTTCATGATTTTGTCTGCGCTTCTGCGCAGTAGAAAGAAACGTCCCGCTCTGTGATTCCGCCAGCGTGACGTGGAGGTCACGCACTCTTACTTGTTGCCTATAAATATGCATTCAAAACCCGGTGAACACACAGTCCACCAAGATGACCCTACGAAGAAAAATGATTGGAAGTCACGATGACTTCCATTTAATCAATCTGATGCAAGTTCTCTGTTTAGTGTCTCGTCTTGAAATATCTGTCTATTGTGCATATACGTTTCTCCTCGTCTGTCACTGTTAATGTCTTCGATTAATTAGTCGAAGTAGACGTGAATACTTTATTACGCACGATAATGTCCAAAACGTCAAGCTTTTAATATAATAATATGTTGCTAATGAGAGACACAATGAGAGTAATCATCTCGTAATTAACGTAGACGCGTCTAGATAAGTTCTACTGTTCATTCACATTCTTGCCCTAGCAAGATCCAAGTTGCAGAGATAAGGCTTCATGTTATGGCTGCGGTGTATAAAAAGGTTAAAGGATTAAAGAAAACAATAGTAAATTATTCTACGGAGGACGTCGGAATATTACCGTTTCCATACTCGACTTACTTGAACTTCGTTTACGACGTGAATACGCGATATATCATACTATTATATTAGATATTTGTAAAAGTCCGTACAATATTAAAGCCATCCTTATTTATTAGTAACAATGAAATAACAATGAAAACAACATATAATATTTTACTCAAAATATTGGCTGTTGTGTCAACAATCTTTTGCCATCTTACAAGTAATAGTTTGTGCCGATAGAATGACTGATTTTTCGACGCAAGCCATTTATCAACCCATTTGCGCACTTCTCAGCATTTCGGGACCTTTATATTGGATAGATTGTACTGCATTGACCTGAATAGATGAAAATCAGACGGAGCGATTTTTAGAGAGTACGCTGGCTCGATTCAAACGCCATGATTGTTAGTTGTAACGATATCCTATAATTGTCTGTACGATAATAAATTCATAAAAAAGTAGTTTCTTTAACCCCAGATATACTAGAAGACTTTATGACCGTAGATGTAGTTTTGTTGTGGATATTGGTGTGATTTTTTGAATCTAGAATTTAGAATGTCAGAATAGATCCACGTTTCATCATAAAGTGAAACTATTTGCTACAAAATAGTTTTTTTTGCATTTGACAAGCAATTAAATAGATATGGTAAACCAATTCGTTGTTCTCTATCTCGTTTGGATGATCAGAACGTGGTTTATCGTTGATATCGTTATCACTATTTCCAAATCTTTTTAACCATTTTTCACAAGCAACAGTGGACACAATATTCTTTCCATAGGTCTTACAATCAGTCTTTTAGTCGCTGCAGCAGTTTCACCGATTAAGATGGTAAAGTTTACAGTAGCAAAAATGAACTTTATCTAGTCTCATGTTCATATTCAATCGCTTCAATCGCAATAAATACGACATTTTATTCGGCACTTTAAATTGTTAACCATCAATTCTGATCAAGTATGATGAGCATTTAAAATGTTTTTAAAAAGCAACTTAAAAGAAAACAATTATTAAGTCACTACTATAATAATCTATTTGTGATCTTATGAACTTTTGCGAGCGCTAATACATCGTAATCTAATAATAATAAAAATCGTAATAAGAAAAAGAGAGCACACACAGACATTATTACAACTTTGTATTTATTAAGTTTATACACTCGAGTACAAAATGAAAAACACATAAACGTTTACCAAATACAATAGGTTTGTTGTATTCGCATAATATATCTATTTATTATGTTCGCATAATATATTTATATTTAGATAAAAACATAAAATGTAATATAAATGTATAAATGTACATTTGTAGTTACGAAAGAAAACATATTCTCACACTATATCATTATTGCATTTGATTATAGTGGATATGTATTTGCGGAGAAAATTGGTTATGCAATAATTAGAGCACAAACTCACACAGTGACCCAAAGTGCATTTTCAAACGGCAAACCTCTACATAATGATTCGAATATTTATGTACAATTCTTATGTTCTAAAATTCCGCTGAAATACGTATATTACGACTAATTGACGTAAGACAAAAAAAGATATATATATGTATTATTGTCGAATATTATATTGAAAATTATAATTTCGACCAAATTTTATGACGCCCAAGTTTCGTTTCTGTACTCGGCTGTATATCTTGAAAAAAACGAAGGAAATTTTTCTTTCGCTGATCCAAGCTTTATTTAACTGCAGTTCGTAATCTCATATCGTAATCTGTGTTAATATCCCTCAATACGTTTTAACTTATGTTGCTGCATTGCCTGATCGTAAAATATGAAGCATGTAAGACTTATTTGAAATCTCATGCCTTATAGTTTACGATTAAACGACTAAATTGTCACGTAGTAATGAATACTGAATAACACAGAGGATAATGTGACTTAAAGTGAAGCTATGAAACTAACGTGCAAAATATTTTGGGATGAAATTTTATTGTAGCGCAACATTCAAAAGGGATCGCCAATTTTCAAGAATACAAAATCAAATTCCGTCCAATGTCGTACGTTCCAACATGTATCAACTTACATATTTTTAACGTGTGATAATTTTAACATTTTTCATTTCTGTAAATTTTGTTATTAGAGGAGCGACTCCCTTCGCACACGACGCCCATGTGCGGTGTTCAATTAGTACATCATTTTGCGGTAGCCGTGATTCCAATAATGTCAATGTCGCATTGCTATTAATAACGTGAAATTTTAAACGTTGCGCGTGCTTTTCACAGCTCGATTTCCTTCGCAGCCGCGAAGAATCTGTAAGTATCGCGCGATGTCGCGTTAATTTCATTTCTAATAATAAACGGCGTAATCGTTATGGAAAAATGATTAACACATGAACATTAAAAATAAATAAACACTACACATCGGGGAAATTTAGAAGAAAAAATCTGTACTCGGTGGGCCTTTTCAGTTCGTCTTTTTCTCTCCATTTCTCAGATCATTTTCTTCTTCGGACTTACGTTTCTCGATACATTTCTCATTAGCTTCGTGTAAACTCCGCGTAAGACAAAGAAATTCGATTAATCGATTGATGTAAGGCACCAAGTAATCCTTCTTGACGACGCTGAAGTGATGTACCACGTATGAATATATGCGTTTACTAGCTTTAGTGGTCAGGCAGCCGATCGTTTGCAAAACACATAACAGCTTATCCTCCTCGGCTGTTTTTATATCTGCAATAGTCATACTTGCGATTAACAACGGGGCAACATTTGCGAATGATCGCATAAGTTTATCTATCTTTAAATATAAATTTATGCGATTATTCTCAATAATATGAAAAATATTCTCAACAACTAAAAATAGATTATATAAATAAGACGAAAGAAAAAGAAAGGTTTACAGCGATTTAACCAATAACTTCACGAAATAATTATGAATTCTCATGTCATATTGTTTGCTTTCACTTTCTCGCTGACGCGCGCTGTTGTCGGCTTTTTTTATATCGTAACTTAAATATCTTAAATATCGTAACTTAAATATCTCAGTTTGACGTAGCGAAACGTCAAGAATCCAATTAATTTATCCATTTGCGATGCGTTAATTTACGTAAATTCGAACATTTCGAAAAATGAAAAGAAAATATATATATTTATGTTTATATTTGTGAACACACATAATCTAAAAAATTGCATATATGTGTGTGTGTGTGTGTGTGTGTGTGTGTGTATATATATAGGTATATATATGTTACCCGTCGTTTCTTCTTCGTCTATTGGAGGGAAATACTCGTCAAGGAGATTATCAATGAGAATACTCGTACTGACTATGCCCTTCACCGCCGTGTTGCCATAGTATGTGTCGAGTATTTGATTCGTTTTCTTCCAGGTGACATCCTGTAAAATCTCTGTTTGTTCGACAATTATGTGATTGATGTGTAAAACACCCATTATCGCCGGTGTAACGGTTTTAACTATAAGCATAGATGTGTCCTGAACAATCTGAAAGATATTACGTTCGATATTATTACATTCCTGTTTCGCTCGCGCGGTTCTAGTCTTCTTTAACCATTTCAAAAATCTGCTCGGTACAGAGCGAATATACGCATGTTCAACGAGATCAATATGCGTCGCGATTACGGTGTAAGGATTCACCTCGTACCTGCTCAGGCTTTTCCTTCACCAGCGGCACTTTCTCCTCAATTTTATCGAGACCTCGGCACAGCTTGTCGTCGACGAAATGTATCTGGTTTTCAAGTCTCGTCACGATCGGCATGGCGATGGGCATCGCCAGCTTCGTTGCGGTATTCAAAGACATTTCGACGGTCGTGAACGCTCCATACATCAATCGATGGAAATTCTTCACTCTGGAGTAAGTCTCCGCAGATTTTGTGAGCGCCAATTCGATTACGGGTAATCCCATCACGCGATCCAGGGACACCAAGTGAGGAAGTTGCGTCGCCGCCGCCGCCATGCTTTATCTCAAAGTTATCTCACGGTGCACTGAAGATTTGTTTCTGGAAGATTTCAGTGGGTTTTCAGTGCTAATCACCGAACGTTCTTAAAGCTGAGAAAGTCTATTTGTACGTTTGTTAGTGAAACTTAACGTTTCCACGGTTGAAAATCTTATTTTCATCGATGCAATCTCCTCCGAATAGAAAGGAACGGGATTTCTAAATCGATGCGTATGTGTAGCTATGTATATGAATGTAGAGTCCAATCAACGAACTCGACTCTCGTGCGTTCAGCTTTCTCAGACAAGTCTTTACAAATGAATTTCCCTTCGTTTCTACTTCCGCCTTTCACCGCACAATTATTGAATATCTATCTTCTCTTACACGTCAAATTCGAAAGATGATGTATCGTGTTATAACTAATTACTGAATTAGATTGTTAAAATAGAGCGTAACATCAAACGATACAATATGAATATAAACGGTATACGTTACGAATCTCTAAGAGACGCTGGTTAATCCACAGAAAAACGACCTTTTATATATATAGTCCAGACGAAGATATGTATTGTAAACATGAAAATATTTTGAAGCAGCGATAGTCTACAACATCGTCGAGAGACATCGATACAATCCAAACACTCATTCTCTCCGGGCGAAGCACAAGAGAGACTGATTTCCGCAAATGATTCTGGCCAGAAATATCCGCAAAACTTCACCGTTTATCCGAATTAATATAATTACCAAAGTATCCGAAATCCAGATCACACAAATCAAGATCGCTGAAGAAACTGACGAGAAGTAAGATGAGATACGTATGATGAGATCGAAAAATTTTCCATGTCTCTCTTATTTTAACTATCTAATATTATTTTAACAATGAACCAATATCTCTTTATCGTCTATCGTTTCTATTTTATTTTTTCGTTTTTATTTCATTAAACCTTTATTTTATTTCGTCAAGAAGCATCCATACGGTCACTCTTACACACAGAATTCGCACAAGGAGTGCGATGTCGCACCGGAGAATTTCGGAAATGAACTTCACTTTGTCGAAGGAAACGGACGCGTCGGAAAGATGCGTTGAAAGAAGATGCTAATTAGCATAATTCGCGCGTCGATCGATCGGATTTGAAAATCACCGTCGCCGAAAACGATACTCACAGAGGCTCGAGTGGTCGCTGCGTCGCCAATTAGCCGTTGCTGACGACGGCTCTTCAGCGTGTCTGGTACGTCCGCACGAATGCTGCCTCCAGTCACGCTCGGTGAACAACTTATAACGCGACGAATCGCCTGCGCAGTGAACGTGGTTCAAACGAGCCAATGACGATTGAGCGAAGTGCGACGTCCGTGATTGTGGTTTCAGCTGTATACTACATGATCAGAATCACGAACACGATCGTTTTCATGGTCAAAGTCTTGGATAGGGTGTGACCATAAAAATTGTTATTTCAGAGGTTGCCAGGACGACTTATATTGCGTGCGCAGTCTACCCTCCGAGTGCTTGTTTGAAAATTTCTTGGTAAACAGTTGTCTTCCTCGTGATATCCAATTTTGTTCCTTTTCATACTGCAGTTCTTGCATATTAACGTGACGTTACGATACGGTAACGTTTACTCTTAGCATCAACTTGTGATTTGTGCATTTTGTTACGATTGCATCGTCCGACTGTAATAGGATAATGTCATCCTTTTTAGAAAAGCGAAATGCGTAACGCACGTGACGGTCGGTTTGAACGGAATAATGCACGAAAACGGCGTTGAAAACGGCGTGCACCGAAAGCTTTATTTTGCGATTCATTGCACTACGCATTGTACAACGCTTTCATCGATTAAATTAAAGTAACCCCCAATATTTGGGTTCGCAAATATTTCTGGAAAGAATATATTCTAGTTGCAATTCGCACACAAATCACAAGTGACTAAACGCGACGCGAGAGGTACGCGTTAAAATTGCAAAATAAAAATAATTTTTTAGGTAATACTGCGCGAGTTTTTATGTCTCCCACTCTCCGCTTGTTGTCCGCACGTCGAAGCTATCGTTAAAATTTTCGCACGCTACTGTGCAATAAGGAGGGGACGGAGTTTCCCGTTTCCCCTCTCCGTGGTCGTCCATGTGCTCCTGCTGTTCAAAGTCCGTTTCGTTCACACTATCATGTCGTGTCCATTATCATTGCTAGTCGCATAGGCGTACAAAAGTCATTACTGAAAAATTACCGAGGGAAATTGGAATTTCTCTTTATCTTCTCTGCAGTGCAGTGATTTTCCTTCAGAAGATTAAATCGTATTTAAATTTTTTAATTTGACGTTCCATCTTCAGGGAATTAGTGCTCTGTTCCTATTGCCTGTACAATTTTACCTGCACGATTTCGATCGCATAGTAACTGTAAGGATAAAAGTTTCACTAACGCAAGTAAATGCGATTAGTCAGAGTATTGAAATAGAATCATCAACACATTGAGATATCAGACGTAAAAGAGTTATTCCGATTATCGATTAAAACGTGCTCGATATTTCACAATTCGAAATGTGTGCTAAGCGAAAAATTATAAGAACGGCAGAAAAACACGTTGCACACGGATCTGTTTTCACAATAATGTTTGCATAATGACAAATAATTTGGACAAGTCATCATATTTATGTCTTCGCTTGCCGAGACACAAATATCATGTTAAATTCCAGAGTCCATGGCACGTCTAACTGGCTCGATTCACAGATATGGCTTTATCTCGTAATCGCGTAATGTCCCTCTTGAGTATCATGTTCCACACACTTCACTCGTCTGACCAGTGAACTTCCTTCTAATCAGGGTAAAGTTCATTGCGTATGCTTCGGGTATTTGTGCTACATTTTTTTTTTCTCGGAAATCCCGTAGCTCTCAAGAATATAAAAAGAATTTTATGAAAAGAATGTTGAACAGAACGACCATTGAAGACACTAGGTGCAAAAGTAGTAAAGCTGTAGTTAAATGTTTCTTGGCGATGGAATCTAAGGATCATTACTATTTTGATATATTTATCAAAAATTGAAGTAAATGTTTGAAATAAATGTGCATGTATCTATCGCACAATCACATAACTTCGTCGTCTCGGCGACGAGTCTTTTTAATGACTGTTAAGAGACTATTAATTTGAAGCGCTATCATTAATGACACTCGCTCGATAAGGTCGCAAATACATTGGTTGTTTCATCGAGTTTCATCTGAAATTAGCGTGTTATACACCGGCGATATTGTTATTATATTAATGTAACATTATTACATTAGTCTATTAAAGTATTAAATGCCATGCCGCAGCATTGAAAGTCAAGCACGTTTTAAGACAATTAACGCGTTGCATCTGTTACCGCGTGAACACGTGTACGACTGGCTCGAGAAACAGGAAGTCCCGGTTAAAGGTTTTGCAATTGCTTAAGATTTCTCCGCTTTCACCACGGGAAGAAATCTGTAGAGAACGCGGCAAGCGCTCGCGACGTCTCGCGATCTTCTCGGAGATCTGACGTCCAAGTTCATCGTGCGACGCTCCGAGCGACGTGCGGAAGATAATCTTGTTGTCGTCGATACATCGCGCACTCTAAAAGACGCGACACAAATGTTTGAAGGGACGAATGGAAGAGGCGGTTGAATGAGCTCGTATCGCTGTTATTATTAATGAAAAAAAACTGCCCTTTATTTTCTTCTTCCTCACTTACACACTTAGCTACCGTAGAAGCAATAAGTTGACCAACATTGAGAAGAATGAGCGCGGCACGGGTATACTGTGCCGGTGATAAAATATATCCTGTCCTTGTATTATCAATGTATCGTATCAACGAGTACGAAATTGTAAACTTTGTATGTTGCATTAATCGACCAGCGGCGGTGGTGACAGCGGCGGCGGCGGCGGCGGCGGCTTCACGCGGCTTCTTCCCTGCTTCTGAAAGTGTCTTTGACCTTGTAATCGAAAACCATACCGGAAGGGAAGAAACCCGCGCGTAGCAGTTTCCAAGTGCAACTCGCGCCGGTTACTCGATACCGTTTGCCGGCGGATAGGACGACACCGACGTGTGGTTGTTGTGGTTCTGCACGCGCGGTACCTTCTCAGAGCTCGGACGGCCAGCCAAGAACGCAGCGAGTCGTTCCTGCGGAAAGTAGTCGAGCATTTTATTATCTCGCGCTTACATACGAGAGGGGTGGAAATTTCCGAAGTGATATTAGAAAGTGGATGATCTTAGAAAGTTACCCACGCACATTGCAATCTATTCTTGGCACAGAATGTGTGATTTGCGTCGATATTAGAATAGCCGGATTTTACGAAACCACAGGTGTGTATGTGTGTGCACTTACCAATAATAGATTCGTGGTCGAATTCAGCCTCTCGATCGCGGAGCGTATGACGGATATTTGTTCGTTCGTGACAGCTTTGCTCTTACTTATAAGCGGTGTTATCTGGAAAACAATGTACACAGTGTGTAAAATATTTTACAGTCTTTATTCTCTCGGACGCGTTAAAACGTGTGTTTCTTTTCGTTTCCTTTTAATAAGACCGACACCGCGTTCTTCAAGCCGGAAAAGTGAGACGATCGCGATTTTCATTTTCATGCCTGAGCAACAAGACACGCGAGACATCGTTTATTTCTTCTCAATCGATAAACAGCGTTCTTCTCGGTGGAACGGTCGCTAAGAGAGTCGAGAGAAAGTGCGCGCGGCTTTCGCCGCAACGAGTCGAGAGGCTACCGCGCTCCACCTTTGGATCAATCGAGTCACACACGAACGGGTGAAATGGACGCGTAACCTTCAACGTGGCATCCGCGACGGCAAGTAATTGATGAGAGAGCCTGACGAACAGATGATTTAAACGTCGCGGGGTCTTAGCCGCCAGTGCCGACGCGCCGTTCACCAGGTGCACCACGCGCCGTGCCGATTCGCGCGTCAACAGCACCAGCAATTGCTCCAATGTGGCTGGACGCGTTTGATTTTCAGGTTCGGGTAAGCTCAACGTGGCCCACAGCTCTTTGGCCTTCTGCAGCGCCAGTTTTGGGTTTGTAGCTAGCTGCGTACAGGTAAACATACAACGTAAGTGGAACGTCGACGTCAGCAGATGAGCAGAGGACAGGGTTTCCAATCCCGGGATCCCGGCCAAATTTTTGGTCCCGAAAATACTCGGGATTCAACATCACAAATCCCGGGATTTCGGGATTTCAAAATTTAATGCTTAGTGTCTATATAATACTTACGTTTTACAAAAATTTTACTTTAATAATTATTATTTATCACTGATATTTTAGAGCATTTGCTAGAGAGAAGTGTATATTTATATTTCAAATTTAATTTAATTCCATGTATTATTTTTATTTTCATTTTTTCTTTTCACTTTTATTTTGGATTCTTCTTATTTAAATATTTTTAACAATCGCTCTTGTTTCAGATATTTTTTTAACAAAATTTATGTTTTATTATTTTTAAAGTCGCTTTTTCAAATATGGAAAAGAAGAAATCATTATTTTTATTTTTATACAAAAATTTTAATTTTTCAATTATAAATGCGGTTTTTGTGCAATCGTTAATGTAAGTTGCTTTCATTTTCACTGAAATTTTATTTTTTGTTTGTCATAATGTTCATAAAAGTCTATGAATAGTCTATTCCATAAATAAAATAATTCTATTATTTGTAAGTATTCCTTGTTTCTTTCTTTACATATGTATATAATCCCGGGATCCCGGGATAGAATCCAAAAAATCCCGAAATCCTGGGATCCTAAATTGTATCCGGGATTGGAAACTCTAAGCGCGGAAACTCATGCGTGCACGTCGTTGTGACGTCGAGGTGAAAGTGATCGGCTCCTCGGGTAAAATCGCATGTGATTCTCTGTAAAAACTGCACAATTGTATTCTGTAGCGAAGATGATTCTGCGAAAGTACATATGTCGCCGAGGATTTTGCGAAATCGACAGTTCACCAAGCTATCCGGTTTGGCTCAATTTGGCAAATTAAGCGAAAGTAATCAATTCTTTTCTTGCTTACACTATAATAAACGATAGATACACAAGAGCGAGGTTACGAGGTCATCGAGCGAGCGTTGCGCAATAGCTGTTTTGCACGAATAGAGCAGAATCGGCTTTTCATTTGAACTCGGCGCTAATCCCGACACTTCGCGCGAAATTGCGAGTGTGGCTTACATCAAAAAATGATAATTTTTCACCGCTGTGGAAAAATTTGCTCATCGTGCATTTATACATCCGTCTTCTGGTCAACGTAAATTTCACACCATGCTCTTGGTTCGAATGTTCATTGTTACTATGTTATCGAACATAGTTCACACACAGCAGTGAGCACAAGCTATTTATACGAGTTATTTAACCGGCATTTTGCGCAATGATATTTCTCTAGTCAGCGATCAGATTTTTCGCGAATCATGCTCTCTCGTCTAGTCTCATATCTGCACAATTGTGGATGTATAATGAAGTAATCAGCGAAAATATCGACACAGCGAAAATATCGTACGGGATATAACGGTACCTGCGTTAAGAAATTAATCAATCTCACTGCAATAATACATAACATGCCAATGGCGCAGTCTTGTTTGTTACTCGCGTCTGATACTCGCGCAAATTTGAGAAAATCCTGCGGAATGAATAAAAAGAAAAGTTTCAATCGTAATCGGTCGATCGGTCTTACCAGCTCTATCGCGTACAGAAGAACGTGGATGCACTCTGTTCCTTGCTCCTTGAGCGCGCGAGCCTCGGCCAAAGTGCGTCGTGTCAATCTCTTCTGCAGTTTCCGTGAGAATCTCGCGCCATGTTTGATCGTTCGCGTTGTTTTGCTCGTGGGTTCAGCGGGGCTGACCTCTGAAAAGTGCATCTTCCACCATTCGATCACACCGCGAGAGAGAGAAAGAGAGAGAGAGAGACGCAACGAACGCGCACGTTCTATAATACATCTATTATAATACATCGCTCGTTGACGTTGCTAGAACGTCGCACATTACTTGACTCTTGTGCAACACAGCAGAACGATTCGCAACGTATCGTAAACTCATTTTAAACTAGCTTATTAACATGAATATTAAATTGAAATCCAAGATCGTACAAGATAAGACCAAGAGCACGTAGCGTTATCGCTTTACCGCGAAATTCCACGGTAATCTCGTGCGATTTAGATTTCGGAGACCGAAGTGGAGCGCGCGTTATCATTCGATGATCTTACCGTCCACTTTGTCAGCTGGATCCTCCGGCAAATACTGATCCACGTACTTGTCCGCGATCGTCAGTGCGCCGTCCAATCTATCAGCGGCGGCGGCAGCGGCTTGGCTGCCGATTTGCTTAACACTTCCGGCACGCATCAGCACCGGCCGCACAATCTTCTTATTTACGTACTCTCGCGTGTTCAGATACATCTTGAAGCATAAAATTACACCGTATTAATTTGCACGCGATAAGGACGTAGGAAAGATTAGTGGTCGTTTCTTTTACGGGCCGGCATACGGCGTCTCACGCCGACTTCAGCCTTCCGCTACGCAATGTGATTAAACAACCGTCTCTATAATTACCCCCTTTATAATACTTTTCGTTCGAATTGCAGCCGCTCGAATTTTTACGCACTGCGAATATTCGGACGATTCTGAGTTGAGTATTTTGAATTCAGCCCCGCTTTCTTCCGTGGCCGAAGACTTTCACGGCGTCGAGTGCGGTTAACGATAATACCGTGCATGCACGATTAAGAACAAGCCGGAATATTGTCCGGCGGAGGAGAAGACTCGTGAACTTACGACATGCGGAGGAAGATGCACCGCTGGCACTCTCTCCTCGACAATGTCGATACCTTTGCACAGCAGCTGGTCGATCGTCGTAATTGGCCCGTTGAGTGCGAAAAAAGCCGGTTTCGCCGTTGCCGTTGCAATCGCTAACGACTGCTCCGCCGTATCCAGGCTCCAGTTCATTAGCGAATTCGAGCGCTGGGCAGGAAAACACGATCAGGTAATCAAGCGTAATTGCTCAGAGACGTTGTATATTTTATATTATATTTAAGGAGAGATTAAAAGGGATTAAAAGACGACTAATGGAGAGGAAGTACGAGAGAAATAAAAAATAATAATTAAAAATTTGAAGAAGAATATATAAGAAAAAGAAGGAAAATGATGTATATAACGGACAAAAATATATAGGAAAAAGTATAGTAGATAAGTAAGATGTAATTAAGGAATTTATCTAAAATTAGGTAAAAATTAGGTATAGGATAGGATAACAGTAAATTAGGTTGATTAAAGGTAGGCTGATTAAGGAAAATAAAGAAATAATGGTATACTGGGTACTGTTAAGGTGAAATATAAAAATTTTTCCTTGGTCATACATGTAAAACATATGTGGAATAGGATAATGTGTAAAGGAAAGAATAGATGGATGAATGAGGTTAAGATCATATTGTAAACCAAATCCTTTCTTGGCTATGAATTAGCTGAAGAATAAATATACATATATACACGCGTTATATTATTTATATTATTTATACATATCATTCGCGTGCGATCATAACCCACAGAATCGTCCGATTCTAGTCGTTCTCCAAAGAAATTCTACAATTATCATCTACATTTATACAACTCAGGTTATCAGGTGTGAAATTTCCAGGTTATCTAATAACACGACAAGCGATACGAGCATACCTTTATTTTTTCATACACATTCCCAGCGATGTGTATGCCGCTCTCGACGATGGGGAAGCTCGAGATCCTGGCGACGGACTCGAAATGCGGCAGATCCGAGTGTCGTCTTTTCACGTTTGATCGCGCCATTTCGGGAATACTCGCTGCGATTGACGATTAATGGCTGAATTAATGGCTGGCTCGCTAAAATAACGTTGCGTACCGCGCGCCACCGAGCGCCGATAAAAATATTATCGCTAAATTTAGCCTCATCCGACACTCCGATATAACAAGCGTCACGCACGTACGCCGGAGCCGAAGGAATGTATCTGAGCGGTGTTGAGGAATTATCCCTCGCAATGAATGCACGCAATGGATGTACGATTATGTCCCTACGATGTCGCTACGCCGCGTTTCATTCTCCGCTCGTTCATTTTATCATCGCTCGCGCGTTTTAAAATCGCCCGCCGTAAAATTACACGATATATTAACCGCTCGATGTGTGTGTTCCTCCTCACGTTATCTCTGTGCATTATCCGAAATAATTTGCGCATTTATTTCGACGCGATCAGTCATCTCGAGCTCAATTGTCAGCCCCATTTTTCTCGTTCATCCCGCTCAGATAAATGCAACGCTTGTATCTACGGACTGGTGACTATCGCATAGTCAGCAGAAATTAGATCATCGCCGTGACAGGCTGTTGAAAAACACGTGCTTCTTTCGACAAACGTAAACGGAGCCATATGTCAATGAAAAGAAACGACACGACCGACATCGGCGAACCCCCCGATAAGGGAGGTCATGCTGCGAGGATGACGGTGAGTTTGCTTCGTAGTTAGTGTCGAGGCTAGGTGCTTCTATTCCGAGCGATCGCTCTGTCGCCAGATCGAATACATCGCGGATAGGACAAAGGTGACGATTAATCGCGACAATCGGCCAATTCGACCGAACATCCGCTTTTCGTTCGCGCTTCCGCCGCGACCTTCACCGACGCGTCTCGTTACTACGGCCATCTTCGCGAACGGCGACACCGAACGACCAATGATGAATCCTACCCTCTCGATCGTATTCACGAAGATGAAGAACTTTCGCGTATTCGCAGCTGCTTCGGCGAAGAATCGACGATACTGCATCGGCGTATCAAACTTCTTTTATGTACACACCCAACGGCATCTTGTCGTCCGCAGGGCTCTATTCGATTCTGTCCGGCCCGGCTTTATGTGACTCCCGATATTCGTCGTTTATCGTCGTTTATGCCAAAAACTTAATCAATCGACGCGACAAATTCGACCGCGGGCCGCTCCCACTCATTACCATTCGAGCTTTCTCTCTCCTTCCCCCCTCTCTCTCTCTCTCTCTCTCTCTCTCTCTCTCTCTCCGTCTCTCCCTTTCTTTCTATTTTGTCAATCGTTGCTAAACATTTGTTTTCGTTGCTAAATTATTACTTCGCATGCACAGATCGCACTGTCCTTCCCTAATTTTCTGCTCCGTTCTCGATTCGGCTCTGCAATCAGCTGTGCAATCATGTCCAGGAGGACACGTGCGCATATGCCCGTGCAAATAAATAAGTACGTCCGCACGCGCGTCCGCAGGGACCCACACACACACACACACACACACACACACACATACACACACGCGCGCGCGCGCGTTTTCACGCAAGTACCGCTGTCAGCGGAGAGCCTTACCTGAGGACAGCTCAGAAACGGCCGTCGGAAATTGACCTGGCGATTTTCCGTAGGATTCCGTGTGTGGCAGAGCGAGTCCGTTCGCCAATCCGACGAGAGCAGCGGCAGCAAACTCGGCGTTTCGACCGAAGAACGCGCCGTTGACTGCACGCCGGGGACCACAAACTGGTATCTCATCGGCTTGACCTATGACACATACGATTATATATGGACGCGACGGACGTAATGGCGCATGAATAAAACTCGTCCTAGCTTCTCCGTCATTCGCGCGCTCGCACTTCGGAATCGTCCGAGAGACATTTGGATGTCGGACCGACCCCGCTGCGCCGCGCACGTGTCTCGGAACCCGGCAGAGCGTCGGTACACGTTTAATCGATCACGACGATCAATCGTTGTACGTGGGCTGCAACGTCATCGGGATTGAGCAACGAGTGACGTATTTCTCTCGAAAATGAATGTTACGCGCGTGAGTTGGACCTGCTCGAAAAAAAAAGTAACACGCATCAGCTCTTCAAGCGCGGCCGCTTCTTCCCCGAAACGTTCGCCTTGGCGACGAAAGAAGCAAAGAGAAGAAATTACGAATCTAACAACGAAAATGTGCCGCGAGAAAGCGCGAGAAATCGCACTTTTATCAAATCACTCGTGGTCATTTTATTGGTCCTCGGTCCTTCCGAGCTGTCTTGCAATTATTATTGTCCACCTTATCAATCAAGTGTTGCGGCATACATCGGCCCGACAACGATATTTCAGACGTGCGCAACGTGGGACAACGGCTGCTATCTTCAGTTTGACGTTTTAAGTAAAACTATACTCATGCATTCTCCAAACCGCGTGATGGAGCGATTTGTGTGGATTGCGGGGAGTGCGTGAGTGCAGATTGATTGACCCTGAGAGAGAGAGAGAAAGACGAGAGACGCTGAAAACGCGTCGGGGAAAAAGAAGCGTCGTGGAAAACTCGAAATTATCGCTGTTAATTGCCGTCGCAAAGTCCACTTCGCTATTCGCGTCCAGACTGAGACGAGGCTTCGTGTTTTAACGCGGCTGGATCTTCACCAGAGCCTCTCGTTCATCAACTATCGATGTTCATGTATATTTTACAAACGAGTCACTCGATGACTACATCAATCGAAAGATACGACTATAAAGTATTCATTCTTAATTTCACCCAAAAGAGGCGCTCCTTCGAGCAACTTCTCAGAAAATTCCGCTGATCCAAATCGGTAGAAAGCAGAGTTTAATCGCGGATTTGCTTAAGCGTCCTTTCATCGAACCAACGATGGACATACAGGGTGTCTTAAAAATACCGGAACCCCCGGATAACTTTGCAGGATCAAGTTTTCGTGAAAAACTTTAAATACAAATGTTGAAGAAAATCGAGTAACGGACTTGATGGTGACCTCGGCCATGACTTTGAATATCATTTGTTAACTTACTGGACTTTTGGAAATTTCAAAATCATCAAATTAACAAAAATCAGGGCGCTATTGTAACAATATATTCTTGAGACTAAATAAATCAAGAAAGTCTAGTACCATTTTTCCTTCCGACAAATAGCGAGATATTGTAAGTTAAATATTGAAAAAGTTATCAAGTTTTCCTCAAATATCTCAAAAAATATTAGGCAAATAAAAAAATATTTCAGACAAAAGTTGTTCAAATTAATTGGTAGAAAAAAAAACAGTGTAATAAAAAATAAGGGTTCCCGTTTAAAAACGCAAGTTGACTTCCAAATGACCTTCAAAGTCATGGCCGAGGTCAAATTCGAGGCCACCATCAAGTCCGTTACTCGATTTTCTGCAACATTTGTATTTAAAGTTTCTCACGAAAACTTGATCCTGCAAGTTATCCAGGGGTTCCGATATTTTTAAGACACCCTATGTATGTACATGGAAAATGCGCCAGGGGCTTGTGCGACTCCAAGTTCCAGCGGCCGTGATTTTTATTATATTTTTCATTATCATTCACCCCTTGGGCTTCGAGAAAGCCGACAGCTGAAACGTCGCAAAATAGAAAACTACCCTGATCCTGCGGTACGCTCGATTCGACGATGTCTTTCCCGATACTTCTGTCCGTCGTCTGCCGCTTCCACGATGAAAAGCTGTCAGCGTGCAAAAACACGAGGAGAGCAGACATCCTGCGCCCCCGTAAGATGCACGGTGGATAGTATCGTGCGACGTTAAGTGCAATGTCACATCCTGTAGTGTGACGTCAACCATCAGCGATTTTTGTCGATCAACGAGACGCGCGAGAATCTACAAGTTACGTATGTCATTTTTAAAGGCTCTCTTGAGAGACACTACTTCTCTCGAAAGATATTTTCCGTCAATCCGAGATTTCAGCACCGTATTTCTTTCGTTCTTTGCTGTACATAATAATGTTATCTTATCACTGGCGCTCCCTAAGCTTCAGTACTTGCATTTATCCTAAAACTACTATTGTCGTGTCCTTTCCCTATGAGATGTTTTGCAACACACATATATTGGGTCCAATTAAATAATCGACATATAATTATAAATATATAAGTCTCTCTTCGAAAATATTTTCGATAGCATATTTACGCACATATTTTCGAAGCATATTTACCGAACAAAAACAACGGTGACTTAACAAGCACGCAATCTGATGTATTTTTAGGTGTCTCAGATCGTTGACAAAAAACTTATTTTGCTCGTTTCATCAAGAAACTATGCAAATGTAATAACTAAAGAGAACGCGTCATCGGGAATGCTATAAAGGTCAAATTAATAATATGTTTCTTCTGCCTGCCGCTCGTTGAGAATAAAGTGCGTCGCTAGATTCAACTAATACTTTAACCGACAGGACTAACGTCGATTAGATTTCCGGTATTCATCTTCAGAAACAGTCAAGACAGTTTTCCAATCAGCCGTAATTGCGTGTGGTCATCGCGACGTTTCGAATATTCTGTTATATTATAACGAGTAGTCGAATTTTCACAATTAATTAATTTCCCCGTTCGGTTCGCTAGCGCACCGACGATATTAAAAACGATAAAAATAGCGACGAATAATCCCCTCCTCACTCCCCAACTTGAAAGCTGCACCGAAGCGGTTGCGAAGTTCAATTTCACATGCTTGCTCCGTTTGAGGCACCCCATTCAAAGATCGCTAAAGTATATAAGTGAGGTTGTTGGTTCGTCACGTGTGGCACGTGAGTGCTCTTTTCTTAGAACGCGCGTCCAAATGCAAGATCTAGTGATAGCGAACGTATTTATTTAATAGGCTGAACACGGTCCCATTTTACAAAATATTCTCTTTCATGGGCGTACGCAAAAGAGCATCTTTGATATGACGGATCGACGTGCTTCTGCTGTCTGATAGTTTGTACTCCCGCGAGACGACAACCGTGGAACTATCGCGAAAGGCATACTTTTATGGTGAAGTTTGGAATTTGTCGTCCGACAATTCATGCTTGAATGCCTCGAATCGAGTCTCCCCGTCGTCAACATAATACGAGGGCAGTCTGAAAAGTTCTCGGCCTAGCAATGAAAGAAAATTTTGTTTGCCGTGAAATATATCTTAGTTTTCAATATAATCTCCTGAAACTTCAATACATTTATGCCAACGTCTTTCCAGTAATTCAATACCATCATTAAAGTGTAATTCCGGAAGGTTCTCTTCGCTCCGGTGTGTAGTGGTGGATTCAAGTTTCATCAACAGTTATGAAACGACGCTTGAAATCCATCATTTTATTTTGCTTAAAGCAATTAAAATGTGCCAAACACGCTTGAGAAATACGCATTCGAATGCGTTTTTCGTCCATTGTTAGCGGCACTCATCTTGCTCACAGAGCTTTTTCAACTGGTGCTACTACTCGAATGACTTGACAGATCGAATAAAATTTTACATAGGTTTATATCAGAGATATAAGCCACTTTCCAATATACAATTATACCGTTTGACCGTTTCTGATGCCATGTATGTGTCAGGTCGAGAACTTTTCAGACTGCCCACATATTTAAAAACTCGACTCATTCGCGCGCGAATACAAACGCGAATGCGTCCGTATGAGCGGGATAAGGGACGAGATCTCTTCTTCTCGGCGCGATACGGGCGCGCCTTTGTCCGCTCACGAAACTCCACGACGTGTGCGTGTACACACATGCGGTTATCGATCCACACCAGGAGGGTCAATAAGAAGTCATCAGTTCCATTCGCATGCATTCGTTGTGCAGAGCTCGCATAGCATATCTAATAATAGCAGCAATCAGCGCCAATAAAGAAGAAAATAAGCTCGCGGCGAGTACACGCGACCCTTTATCTCGCACGTGACGGTTCTATCTGTGAACGCGGGAGTATAAAGGTACCTTAATCCTAGATTGAAGCGACACGCCGCGCGCAAACGTTGTCCGGTGCACGAACACATCCTGCTGTGTTCGTACGGCAGCGTCGCGCTACGCTTTGTGACTTGCCGTCGTAAATCTGCAAAGCGCGAGCGTGTTCCTTCTTTTCTCTCCTTTGCAACGACGCTTCTGTTTGTTTCCCCTCGAAAGAGATTTCCGCCGCGCCGCAAAGGACGACCGCAGAACCGAGTCAGCTTCGCGTGGTCGCGGCAACGGCAGCGTCCGGAGCCCGAGAGAAGCACAAGTACCTGCATTTCGATTGCATCGGACTTGTCAGCCAAATTGAGGCATTGATACCTCCTTCTACCTCCTTCAGCGAGAATACCACCGAATCCATCCACCGTTCATTCGCACACTGTACGATGCTCGAGACCAAAGCGCAGAAGGTCCTGCAGGACGAGCAGTGCTTCGAGATCATACGCAAGAAACTGCGGCAAGACGCGATGGACGACTTCTCGCTGGTCGGCTACGAGATCGTGCCGATAGACAAGGTGAACGGTTTCCTCGGCCAATACTTCACGCTGAAGGCCACCGTCGCCTGTCCGAAGTCGCCGTTAGAGACGAGAAGCATCAACTTCTTCACGAAGATCCCGCCGCCGATCAGCAGCCCGCAGTACCACTTCATCCAGGCGTACGGTACGTTCAAGAAGGAGGTCGCCCTCTACACTACGGTGTTCCCGGAGATGTTGGACGGCCTCGACAAGCGATGCATCCCCGAGTGCTTCCTCGGGATCGAAAACGACGTGATCGTCCTCGAGGACATGGCCCACAGCGGCTACACGATGACAGACAAGTACATTCCCTTCGACTTGCAGCACTGCGCGATCCTCATGAAGACGCTCGCCAAGTTCCACGCCAAGTCCTTCGTCTTTGAGCGGCAGTACAAGAAGAGCCTGCACGACGAATTCTCGCACTGCATGCATGAGACCCTTTGGCCGCGCGCCGACGACAGAGCGAAGGCGATGATCGACGCAGCCGTGAAGGGCGTCGTCTCGATGATCGACCTGCTGCCCGGCCTGAGCAACGATCAACGTGGTAACTTCAAGGAGAGGGTCGTGCAGTTCTGCGCGGACCACACGGACAAACTGTCGCCGTCGGTGAAGCACAAGAACGTGCTGTGCCACGGTGATCTGTGGGCGAACAACGTGTTGTTCAAGTACGATGCCGACGGACGGCCCGTCGAATGCTGCCTCATCGACTTCCAGTTGGCGAGGTGATCGTACACGCTAATTTTCTAAAGCGCGTAATCCTGTTGCACGATAACGTAGCACTTGGTACTCACAGTAGCACAGTAGTGAGCCAGTCAAAAAATTCGCTTCGATTTTATTGGCCGATTGGTATTTATGTGTAAAACGGGCCCCCTCCGCGATTTAATTTATTTTTAATTTTAATTTATTTTTAAATATGTTGTTGGGGGAGTCTTTCTGAGTCGTTTTATATACATATATAAGGGTCGGACACAAATAGCTTCGGAGATACAGGTTGAGAAAAGATAGAAATTCGTGTAGTTTCATTATTCTTCACGTTCCGAAAACTGTACGATAAGACGGTCTCTAAGTGAATGCTGAATGTTCTTCGTCGAAAATATATGAAGAAATTCAAACATAAACAAACCAATAGAGTCATTTTGAAAACATAAACAAACAGACCCCTCCTCCCCACCTGCACCCTCCTTGACGGATGAAACTCGCTTCATACGGAAAGTCGTATTGTTCTGTGTCACACGAGCTTGCGATTTTCCACTTGACGCAAGTTCGACCAGACGAGGGCCGAAGGTCCCCTCGCACCCCCCTTCGGTGTGTGTGTGTGTGTGTGTGTGTGTGTGTGTGCTTCGGTGATTCATTACTTTAAATAAATTTTCATATTTACTACTTTCATCGTTTCTCAGCTTGTATCACCGAAGCTATTTGCGACCGACCCTTATTATATGTATATGAAACGACTCAGAAAGGCTCCCCCAACAACATATTTAAAAATAAATTAAATCGGGGAGGGGGCCCCTTTTGTGCATAAATACCGGCTGATTTTCTCGCGCATTCAATAAGAATATTAATTACTGGTCGGTCGAGTAATCGCGGTCGTCGACGCGGCGGGCCACCGCCGACGTTTCGGCAACACGTTCGTATATCCTTGCCGTAGAAGTCCACCGATCTCCCGTCGTGAAAAAGGCAGAAAATCGAACGGAATTTTTGGACTGATTCAGCAGTTCGACCATTGCAATTCTCACGTGCGGTACTTTCCACGCAGATACAACCCACCGGCGCACGATATACTGTGCTTCCTCCAGTTCACGACAACGCGGAAATTACGGGACGAGCACAGCGAGACGCTCTTCAAGGCCTATCATGACTCCATGGCGAGCGTCCTGAAGGAAGCTGATCTGGATATATCGGAGGTCCTTCCTTGGAAAGAGTTCGTCGAGTCTATTCAAGATCTGCGCACGATGTGCGTGGCCCATGGTGTCCTCAACACGCCGATCATGCTGCTGAAACCTAACGCGGCCAGCAAGTACTTCTGCGAGCAGCCGGAGCTCCTCGAGAGCATTTTGTTCGTTGACAGAACACCGCTCGTTTGCGATCAATTCAAAGAGGTGCCGGAGTATCGTGCTCGGATGATCGACGGCTTGCTGGAGTTGCACGACCATATATAGCCGACTAAAATTGCCGCGCTCGCGGCGAGTGTTGTGTCTCTCCGCGAGACGCAAAGTCCGGAAGAAGAGTACACTGGGAAGAGAAATTTAGTATCTCTAACAAAACTGTTTAGTTGAGGCATTTTTTAATAGCAACTAAATATCTTGTTTTATATAATAAAATATTTAGTTGTCTTAACTAAATATATGTTTATACTTTGTTCTCTGGACCAAATGATGTTGTTCTTAGACTTCATATATAAAAATTAAGCATTTTAGTTATTTTATCCATAAAAATTACATAATAACGAAATATTATTTCACATAAACTAGAATAATGCCCAATGGATACTATTTTGTCTTTCTGTGCGTTAAAATTTGAATTTTATATATTAAGAAAAAATTATAGTATTTTTAACAAAATTCATATAGTTATAGCTTTTTGGTTGCTATAACAAAAGTATTATGTTATACGAACAAACCGTAATCAAACAAGATATTTGTTTAGAGGAACTAAACAGTTTTGTTGTTGAAACATATTTTAACCAAATTATTTTGTTGTTACAACAAAATTTTGGTTCACGCAACAATACATTTTTCCTAGTGTACGGAATTCGCGCAATTCAAGATCAATTCATCAGCAATAGTACATGTAATATATATTGACGGAGGTAATAATATATGTATTGACAGCAATAATGCTAATTCCCATGAGAAAAGTATCATAAAATAGATCTATGCCAAGTGCAAAAATGAAACGCGATTATTTTAGATCTTAGAAGATGAAATAGATCTAAAGTAATTCGCTTAGTACAATCTTTACATGTGAAGCTTCTTATCGTTATATATGTTGACGAAAAATAAGGTTAGTTTATGTTTTAAAAAGTTACTAATTAATCGAAAAATACGTGTAAGAGAAGGCGCGCGTGAAAACTGTGGATGAAGTGTTATATATATATATATATGTATACATATAACACTATATATATATATATATATATATATATATAAAAACACTATATATATATATATATATAAATAATTACAAATTGATGATAAAATGGAATGAAATTAACGACTTAGTAAAATAACATGGTAAGGTTTAAGGTAACAACTTATTTATATAAGCTTATGATTCTGTACAATGCACGAGTACTTATCATTGCAGGTGTAAAATTGTTAGCTTCACACACGTAATGATAACTTTGCGACCTTTGCGATCTAACCTGATACTTTTCAAAATATATCCTATTGATCAGAAAATATCTACCTTCGATTAGAGGGAGTTTTGTTAAACGGCAAACGACTAAATTTTTAAGTATGTCTCCTTAAATGCTAGACAAAACAAGCTAGATTGCACGTGATATTATCAGTACTGTGATATTTCTAAGGTACAGTTGTACGCAGTTAAGAATTGTGGTAGTTTGTTGTTAATGTATCGTTGTTTCTCGTTGACAATAAAAATGACATACACGAAATATGTATCATGCACTTACCTCTGTTATTCTTTGCTGCCGCTTTTAAGCGCGATACGAAGAGTAGGTGTACTTTTTTTTTCCTGAGAATTATTATGATGTGTATTTCGTAAGTTCTGTTGATCACTGCCGAGAAATTAGTGAAAATTAAAACAATTGCGATCGAGTGTCTTTAAGAAACGTCAAGTATTCTGAATTAATGTAAATACTATGAGTTTGGGGAATGTAGTGAATCGTAGTGAGAAGAAATCGTGATTTAAAATATTAGTTTTCCATTCAGATTATTGAAAAAGTGTTTATACGATACTGCAAATTTAACGATTTCCTTGCCAATTTTTTCGTCGAGATAAAAGTCGCCAATTAATGATGCGGAATATTTATTATATCAATCTCTAATATCGTCAAAAGTGATCGTTATAATACGCTAGTAGACATTTAACGTGCAATCCTGCTCAATAAAAAGCGAACCAATGATGACTTGAAAATGTTGGATCAGCGCAAAAGTTTTGATGGATTTTGTGGTAAAAGAAAGTGTGCGTGTGGACTAAATGATTCTATTAGACGTGATTTATTCTCATTCTAGCTGAATAATCGTTGAAAGTATGACCATATATTTCTAAATGCACAAGACTGGATCAGTTACGGAATCTTTGAGAAATCCACATCAAAACTTTCGCACTCATCCCCATTAGTATTATCTCTCGAGGAACTCCTGCGAGTTCTGCGCTAAGCTATCGCTAACTGCTATGCAGCTATAAACTACGTGACAAATACAAATCGTGAGCGTACGGATACTCCTGTCAGCATATCGAACAAACGACCCGGGGAGAGACAACACTCGCGGACGTTGTAGAGGCACTTGAAGCCACTTGTGTGGCGCAAACACATGGCTGACGATGATGACGACGACGAGGGCGACAACGACGACGACGACAACAACAACGACGACGATGATTTTATGCCGACAGTTTTATCCTGCTCAACACAGGTTTGTAAAGTACTTGTCCTTTTATTACAAAGTGACATGGATCCGCATATCGAAACGCGAGGCATAAGGGGACTCTGGGAGATCGCCTTCCTTCCCTCTCTTTTTTTCACTTTTATGTATATAATTATTTATATCATCAATTATAATGAATATATAGTTATGTACAATATTGAATCTCATTCTTTAACAATAACATCAACAACATGATTAAACAACGTTCCTCATTGGTACACAAATTGTAAATGTACAGATAAAAAAGCATTAAGTGAGGTCAATGAGGCATTGAAGGTGGCGTACGCTCAGCGCGCCTTAATTCCCTCTTCTCTTTATACATTTTTTTTTTTAAATTCCCATATATGTATATATATATATATATTTTTTTTTTCTCTCTCGAATCACTTCGAGTTGTTTGTTCGAGTTTTTACGGGCTTTTCTCGTTAATATATTTATATATGTATATACTTCGTTTAGATATACACACACATTCCACATACACACAAATGCGTCACATTTACTCCGCGTGACGCAACGAGAGAACATGATTACGGCTGATGATATCGATTGAATCGGTGCGTGATTTAATTCTTAAAGAGAGTGCATGAGCGATTCGCGTCGCGCGCGACTGGTCAGCGCCATAATATTTTCATGCAAAGTTCGCCGAGAACGATACGAGCGAATTGTCCCTCGGAACGAGAAGTAACGCAAGTAATCGTCGTGATCGCGCGGCAATCATTCCCCCGCGTGAACGTCATAATTGTGTGTGTTTAGGCATTCGAATGATACGGGAAAACATACGAAACCGTCGAGAATAAATCGATCAGAGTTTGCCGAAACAGAAGTTTCCTCTTCGACTCGGCTCGCTCCGCGCGACGCAAATCTCAACCGATCATCTAAAACTCTACACAAGGCTCCGACGAGTTTTCTCTTTTTTTTTTGTTTCGTCGCTCTGTTGAACGACTTTCACATAATCTAACACACGAATTTGTTTTATCTTCCGCAAGTAGAATCGCATCGAGGCAAGACAGAGTCGCCGAAACTCTCTTGAAGCTCTCTCTCCGGCGCTCAGGACGCGCGCGCCTTCGCGAAGGACTCGCTCGCATGCTCACGGTTCGCCACGTTGAACCTCCCTTCGTCTCGAGGAGACTCGAGGAAAGCAAAGGAAGAAAAATAAAACGAACGAATGCACAAACTGACGTTTCTCGAGGATGAAGCGACACGCACGGCTCTGATACGTGTTCTTACGATCGAATCTTTCGCCTCGCAAATAACCAACTCGTATATTCTTCCCTCTCACCAATTTCTCCCCTTCTTCGTGAGGAAACACGAGAGCTTTCGAGAATGAAGAATCTCAGGACTCGATCTCGCAAAACTCGCTCAAAACGGAAGAAAGAGAGAGAGAGAGAGAGAGAGAGAGTGAGAGAGAGAGAGAGAGAGAGAGAGAGAGAGAGAGAGTAAAAATAAATTAAACAGAGATTGTGATTTCGAAAAGTGATGTTCTCGCAAAATATTTCAAGATACGTAATCCTTTCCTCGACACAACTTTTGGAGAAGAGACCACCGTCTTTCGAGTCGAGAGTCGGGCGCTTCGTCAAATCTTAAGCTTGGAGATTTGCACTGAATAAAAAAAAAATAAAAATCTTCTCTTTGCCAATTTTTAAATCCGGGAGAGACAAAGCGTGACAAAGTAAGGAGGGCGTAAATGTATCTCGACGTGTTCTCCATTCTCTTTCTTCTTCTCGCGCTCTCCTCCATTCTCCTCCACTTCCTCCTGCTTCCGTCGAACATTCGAGTTTCGTCAGATCGGATCCGCGATTCGAGGCGGATGAAGTCTAACGGTCGGAAGGAAGAGGAAGAACGAGGGAAAACACGCAAAATTCGCGATCGCTTTGAAAAATACAATGTCCGTTCACGCGAGTACCGTACCGCGCACGAGAGGCGCGGCGAAGCGCGCGAGCTTCCTCGGCCGAATCAGCTCGCATCGATAGCGCGATCCTCCTGTAAAACGCGCTCCTTCGTAGTCACGATTTTCACGCGTATCGCGCGAGTTCAACGAAATTCCAGCGTCCGCGTACTCTGAACGCGACGAAGTCGCGGATCAGCTCTATATTTCGAGAACTCCCGTTTTCTAACGCTTCGTATAGTCGATTTAGTTACAAAAATATACGATCGCCTTACAAATGAAACGCTTCATGGAAAAAGGAAACGACGTTCGACACATCTCTACATGAAAGCCCCCGCAGTAACATTGCATCCACCGTGCAATCGCGCAATTTATCTTCGATATCTTCTTGAATCGTTTTCAGAACACCTTGAACGAAATGTTCCTTCATCTCATCGTGAAAGTAGACTTGTCGAAACCTCGGAATCTTCTCGCGAAACCTTCCTCGCGATCGCCCATATTTTGGATTCGTCCGAACACCTAGTGTTGCAGATTATCAAAAGGTAGAAAAATAATATAAAAACAAAACAGTGTCACACACACACACACACACACACACACACACACACACACACATAATTCAACTGAAAGATCTCCGAGGAGAACGCATACGCGATCAAAGATAGTTCTGCGCCATTTGAACTCCCGTTGAGTTGTATGTACAGTTTCATCGTCTGAACACCGTACAACAATTTTGCAAACGGAGAGATTGAGTCGAATAAAAATAGTCTTTTTGTTCTTTCACTCGAACCGGAGATACGACGCGCGTAACAAGTGGTACAAAACTATATCTGACGTGCGTGGCTCCTAAGAACGAGGTACTTTCGCAACGTAATTTCACGCGACCTGGGAATAAAAGTCCGAATTGTACGCTTCTCTCGTGCGAATCGCGAGATTCTTCGAGGTCCTGCGTAATCAAGCCAGTTCGGGCCAGTTGCACCGACGTCCGGCGCAGCATCGGGCCTGATGCATTTCGTTCTTCGCGCAGCATTGCCGCGCGCGTTACTCAGATATATCTCGACCAAATCCGTCCGAATGATCGGATTTTTTCTTCGCGATACAGGACACGTTTCATCAGGTTCGCAGGAAGGGCCGCAGCTCGGCGGCCGAAGTTAACGTTAATATCGACACGAACGCTCAACTCCCGCCTATTCTCCCGAGAAAAATTCGCGTGACTGCTAGGAGGATCTTCTCGCCAATAACGTAGTCGTGATATCTCACCGTATCTCAGCCGCTCTTTGTACGCGCAGGACACGTCCAACTAAAAGGATTAAAATCCGGAGCGTCGGTGCAACTCGGCCGTGTTCGCGCGACCGATTCGCTACGTCCTTTGTACTTCGCAGGGTGCGTGCGCGTTCCACACTCGCGCGCCTCGCCTCGCTTACTTTCGTCGCCTCACTCGAGCTATACATAGAAAGTTATGTACAACGATATATAACACGAACTGCAGTGGCAGTGAACAGTGCACGTGGATATTGCAAACAGCAGTAGCAGCGGCAGCAGCAGCAGCAGCAGCAGCAGCAGCAACAGTAGCGGCGGCAGCGGCGGCGGCGGCAGCGGCGACGGCGACGGCGACGGCGACGGCGACGGCGACGGCGACGGCGGCGACGACGATGACGACGATTATACAAGGTGTACGCGTAATACGAAACACGGCAGCGACTACCACAGCTAGTTTTCTTCTCGCTTCGTCTGCTTCCGCTTCGCAATCTCTTTCTCTTTCTCCCTTTGTTAATTTCTTTTTTTTTTGTTTTGCTCCTTCGCTCCTTCACGCATCCTCGCGGAGTCGCGTGGATTCCCGTACCGCGCGAGACTTGCGCGGGCGGCAATGTCCGACCGCGAAATCGCGGCGGCGTCTCTCGCGGTGGCCGACAACGCGCGTCCTACGTTTATCGTCGTCACGTAGTTTTTTTTTTTTTTTTTTCTGTACTTTTCTCCTCTTTTCGGTAGTCCTCCTTGGCTCTTCTCAAGCCTCTACGTTACCACTTAATTGTAGAACAGTCTCACGTATATGTCCGCTCGCACGCGCGCACTCACGTGCGTATCAATCTTCACCGATCTAGATCTCCGACTCTGCGTGTATGTGCGTGTATACAGATGTGTGTATATACTTATATCTGTGTATGCGTGAGTCTTTTTGTGTATACTGTATGTGTGTGTGTGTGTGTGTGTTTTGTATGTAAGTATGACCGTGTGTGTCGATATATGAAATGTAGATTGTACTTCTCTATGTGACTGCACGCGCGCGCGTGCATATCTTATATACACGCCTGTTCTCGTACGTGTGTGATTACGTGTGCGTGTTTGCCGTGTACGAGCGAAGTACAAATCCGTGTCGGCACGCGCACACGTGTGCACGCGTAGTAGGAGAAAAAAGAAAGAAAGATAGAATGAAGAGAAATAAAAAGAAAGAGAGAGAGAGAGAGAGAGAGAGAGAGAATGTATGAGAGAGAAAGAAAGAGAATGTGTGTTTGTGAGAAAAGATATATCTGTGTACAGGTGTATCTGTGTATTTTTCTCTTACATATACGTATATTTTCTTTTTTTTCATATATATATGTACGTCCGTATATATACACACGTGAGTTTCACAAAAATATATAAAAGAGAAAATGTCTATGTATACATATATATATATATATATATGTGCATATATACCTATAATGTATATATACCGATATATAGACGATTTATATACTTAAAGTTGTGTGGAAAAGGGTACTTTTGTCGTATAGTTATTTATATGTATATATGTATATATATATACATATATATATAGAACCTGTACAAAGTGCTTGATTAAGATATTTTTTTTCCCTTTGTTTCATTAGCCATAAAACAAGACACACGAGGTAAGGGTTGCGCGTAGTAGTCCGGCACTACGTTCGTTCGAGCGCACTTCGTCCGTCCCGGTACTCGAGTCGCGCCGAGTCCGGAGTTCGTCGCCGACGAGACGATTCGCCGACGACGGTCTCTCGCGACGTGTTTCGCGTGCGCGCGAGAGAAAGGGAGAGAGAGAGAGATCCGGTCACTCTCTCGATATCAGACGAGACGTCGATGAACGAGTCCAATTCGCTGCGTTCGCAGACTCCTATCCTCCTCTATTTTCCTGCTCTTTCTCCTGCTGCTCCTTTCACACCTCTTCCTGCCCTTCCCTTCAACGTCGGCTCTTCCCAACAGCTCGCTCGTTGAGCGTTGACGGTGTTCTCTGTGGCTTACATACGTATTACATACATTAATCACACGTGCTACTCCGCCACGACTCGGCGATTGTTCTTCCGCGCGCGCGCGTGGCTTTACTGTGCAATTCCACAGCGCTCGTCGAGGCTGACAGCCGCGCGTTAAACATTAAGCTATACACAACTCCGTATAGCCCGTCGAGGGCTAAGCCATGTGTTAGACGTTAAGCTACATGTGTACACCCCGCGTACACTTTCTTCCAGCCCGGTTGCGAAGGGTCGGTGGTTTCGGGGGACTCGATAACACAGCGTTACGCTTCGCGAAGTGTCTGATTTCAGTCCTCACGGCCCTTGTCGCCCTCGTCGGTTGCGAAGACGACCGTAATTCAGCTCCAACAGAGAGAGGGAGAGTGAGTGAGTGCATGACGTGTAGCTACCCTCGGACCGCACAGCATCGTGCCACTTTCCGTCGTTCCTCCGCATCCTCTTCTTCTCCGGCATGGTGTTCTCCCGTTCGTCGTCGTCCTCTTCCGCTTTCGTTCGGATCGCTCGCTCGCGTACGTGTCGCGTACTCGCTCCGGTGTGATGATCGTTCGGTTAGGTGTCGTCTTGCCGAGACATCTTTGTAATCGAGCGTCGAGATCGACTCGGCGAGAACGATCGCGTCGAACGAAACGACACGGAAGCCGCGACCGTGGAGCGATCGGGTTGACGAGCTGACGAGCGTCGCATTTGCTCCCCATGTCGCCTGGGTGCAACGGTCGAGCGAGGAAACGGACATGGCAAGCTGCGAGCTGCCTCGCGCACGACGCTCGCAATGACGACTCTCGTCGATGACGCGCGATGTCACACGATGATGGTGATGGTGGTGACGGACGTTTCCTACGACGAAGACAAGACGGTTGCAGAGACGACGGACAGCACGACGGCTTCCAACGCGCGATTAGATGTAGGAATATGGTCCGTCGGTGAGGGCGCTACACAGCAACAATCAGGAGGAGTCGTCCTTGCCGCGGGCGCCTCGGCTCGGCCTGTACTCGAGACCCGGGTCGAACTGCATCAGCACGAAAACCTGACGATTGAAAGATAACCGACTGATACAGAGCGCGATTCGTGTCGTCGGGAGTCGCCTGACGCGAAATCAGTCAACATCAAGTTTATACTTCGATCAAGCGTACAAATTCGCGAACAAATTCAGAGAATGGACGATGTGTCAGTCGTTAAGTCCGCATTGCTTTGGATTGGATCTCACCGAGGTTCTCGTTAGATAGTTTCAAAGTAAATGTATATGCATAGTGTGATTGTCAGACTTATGATATTTTACCTGATCTGTAGGTAACAGAGTGAATTCGTCGGGTGGATTCGTGATCACGTATCGCTTGGAAGAGGCGTCGCATGACGAGCTAGTGTCACGAAACCTAGAAGATTCGAGCACAGGTCAGAGAGTGCAACGGAGACGTGCGAGTGCGTCGACGAGAGAGAGTACACGAGCTGAACTATATATAGTATATATATGTATATATATATATATATATATTATATATATATATACATAACAAGTGTAACTAAACTAAAGTTTAAGAGTTGAACTAAGTTAAGCTAAACTAAAGTGAACTAAGCTAAACTAAACGAATGTGAAACATGTATGACAATCAACTAAACACTAAACAAATATCATGGTGAGACAAAGAGACAGAGAACGGTAGAACGATAGAGAGAGAGAGAGAGAGAGAGAGAGAGAGAGGGAGAGAAAGAGAGAGCGAGAGAGAGAGAGAGAGAGAGAGAGAGAGAGAGAGAGAGAGAGAGAGAGAGAGAGAGAGAGAGAGAGAGAGAGAGAGAGAGAGAGAGAGAGAGAGAGAGAGAGCGAGAGAGAGAGCGAGAGAATAGAGAGAATAGTAGAGACAGAGAATAGTAAAAAATGATAGGTATTTTTTGGATGAGGGCAACTTACAATTGTCGTTTCGTATTATACTTTCTTTTCATGATGCAAAAACGCAAAGTGCAAAATGTGTGCGGCAAGAAAATCATAAGTCACATAGTAAGTACGTGAGTAGTAATAAGAGGTAATAAACGGCGGTACAATAATAATGGCAGCAATCGGAGTAAGTCATTGTTTTCGCAGACGGTATATATAATAATATATATATACAATGTTGTAGAGAATGTAGTGCGTAGGGTAATCCAATAAATACCATCGAGAGAGGAAAAAAAGTCCGGTACCTGTACCTGTACAGACCAATGCACAGCATTCCGTATGACTTTAATGCTGCGACAAAGAGGTCACCGTACTTGCCTCCCTCGCCATACTGAGCCAATGGCCCGTCGTACAACGCGATCTGACCAACGCGACAGCGATCTCTGTTGGCCAAACTGTCCGCCGTACTGCAAAAACGAAACGAAATGCCTCGCGTTAATCAAACACGCATGTGCCGGCCAGCAGAAGCAACGGAGACGCTAAAGAAAGAGAGAGAGAGAATATCGATTCTCTTATCTGCGTGAGATCTGACCTATAACCTCCTCTTAAACCTGCCCCTTCAGCCAGGATCAGCTCCAACTCGGGAGTGGCTCCACCGGTGATCAGCGACCGGATCAGAGTCAGCGCGTTTTGATTGAAGTATGTCTGCAAGTATAGCCGAAACTGTATAGTTAATCTTTTTTCCTTTGTGTTTTCCTTCTTTTTCGCGGGTATCTCGACGGGTATTACGTTCGTGTGACACCTCGGGGAAGCGGAAATCTCGAGGAACACGTGGTCGCGCAACGCGAGAGCGAATACTCTCGGATACTGACCGTCGACATGAGAGAGTCTAACACACTGACTGCGAAGGCAGTGCCGCAGGCGAACGGTTGTGTGAGGTAGAGTTCCGTGTCCGGATCATCGTCGTCGTCCTGGTCAAGGAACTGCACGTTACTGTCGTTCACGAGTTCTGGAACAGCGATCAGTCGTCAACAACAATGATGCGCCACAGGCATCGTCGATGCTTCGACGCTTCAATGTTAGGAAAGTTCGTCGCGGTAAATCACGGAGAAAAACTCTTCTAAAGCAAAGATACAATTGTCCTTGACATTGTAATTAACATGTCTGACAGCAATCAGGGAATGCGTGTGTGAAGACTTTCAAAATACTTAATCATATATATCAAACATGCCTCTATTTCAGCAAGATTTTTACCTGTAATCATTGGCACATTCGCCCCGTAAACGGATCCTCGTCGCTGCAAGACGATCGGACTGCCAACTACGGTGAAATTATCTCGTTGAGATTATCCGCTATATTTTGCACTTTCGATTTAAGGACGCTGGTTCGATTATAATCGAGGAATGTGGGATTTCGCACAAATGACAAGAAGGCGCTCTTGCTGCTTACGTGGCTGCTTACCTTGGCTAAGCACGCCGATCGTGTCGTCGAAAGTCATGGCCTTGATATTGAGGGATGCGAGAATGGCCTCCTTGTCGGCGAGGGTAGGGTCATCGTTGCTAGGCACTTTTGCCGACAGGATGCAACACATGTCGCACAGGTTCACGTTAACGGCACGCAGATCGGCTCTACTCAGTGGTGAACCCTGCGAAAGATCGTCCTTGCACTCTCGTTTTGCCCGCGAGTTTTCCCGCGAGGGAAATAAAAAGACACCGGAATGCAGGGGTGTAAGTTGAATAATGCTGACGCGCAAAGTGAATCTCTCAACTTACTGCGGATCGAGAGGGTCAAGATTTAACATAATCGGATACGGAAATGTCGCGATGATTGATAACGTCTTCGAGTGTAGAACGCGCGACTGATTCAAGTCCAGAGTATGAAGGGTGGAAAGATCCGCGTGATTGCACTAGAGACGTCGCGGTCACTCGATTATATGAGAGAATGAGAGAGAGAATGAGAGAGAGAATGAGAGAGAGAGAGAGAGAGAGAGAGAGAGAGAGAAAAAGAGAGCGGATCCTCACATTTAGAACCGATATCTTCGGTAGATTCTGCAGCATCTTCCACTCGCGGCGTATGTAGTCCACCGACCCAACTATCACTACGTGTTTAAGCTCGTGGTAATGAAAATTGGAAGCTCGTAATGGCATGACAAGGTTTCTCAGTCCGATGAGGGGCGAGTCGGGATCGGCGAACAGGCAGACGACCACGTGCCCGTTCAGGACTGTCATCGCCGCCTGATTACGATCCAGTATGCAGTCTTCGAGGTTGCGAGAGGGACTCCAGTGGAACATCCCAGTCGAGTCGTACTTCATCTCGGTCTTCTCGAAGTCGAAATCTTTCGCTTGATCGTCAGCGATCCCGACCTGAAGACCGCCGTTGTTGTTGACGTTCGTGCCACCCGAGGCTCGGCTCGTTGGCCTGGAAAAATCGCGTGCCGTCGTGACGTGGGCCTCTGACATCTCACGCTAGATACGATCTTGTATAATAATCATTCGTGTGAACGAATTTACTGCTGTAAAACGTCGTCGTCGATTGTATTCTAGAGAGGAACGGTAACGACACGATTTAAGTGCAACACTTACATCGTTCGGAAATAAATGTACACGCACAAAGCTCAAAGGAGAACATATCATCGCGCACGGAGAATTTCCTTTTTGCTCTAAGTTCTCGTTAAATCAACCGTTAGATAGACCGTTAAGTCATCTTCGCATGCATCTCATGTACACGACGTTCGTTTTCTATTATCTAGCACTACTGGTGTACTGGTTGCTCCATGTCCCTCACAAAGGAAAGTCTAGAATGTCCGTCAGCGACATTTTCACGAGCCTTGGAGATCTGATTGCAGAAGAGACATGTTATTCTCATAGGTGCTCCTGGAAATCGTTCTCAGTCTTGGAGCGTAGGAGAAAAAAGGAAACACGTGTTTTTCTCACGTTTTGTGATTTGTGACTTGTCTATAATCCAACTGAGACTCTTCAAAATCGGCGCGAGTCTTCTTCTAGATCTTCTAGATCTCCCTTGTCGGAGCGAGTTGGATGACCAGTTACTCGATTTAGCAGCGGCGACAGTATCAAAGAAAGATACGGAAGATACATTCGTAGATAATTAAGCTATCTATACTGCATGCATGTAAATACAGTGTCGGTGTGTGATCAAGCTTCCAAGCGGCGAGCCTTCTCCGTAAATCTCGCGACTTTCACTCCGATCTAACGTGTCGGACGTTACGGGGACTAGCGGCTGGACAACGACGGAGTCCGAGTTCGACGTGGGCGTACAATTAGATACATATGTGACGGCGCGATAAAATTTCGGCGAATTCTCTAGAAGGGAGATCGAAGTCTCCGGCGCCCTCCTCGAGCCTCGGTGCGCGACTATTTCTCACGCATCCCGAACGACGAGACGGGACACGTAAGCCAGCGTCAATCGCATTCTCGCATACGACACTCGCCGTGTTTTACGAACGTCGTTAAAGCCAGTCGCGTATGTTGCCCGAGATTAAGTATCCTCGTAAAACACATAGAATTCTCTATACTTTTTTGCGGACCGGCTGTGCTACGTGTAAGTGCAGCGCGACCTCGGGCAGACGCTATAGAGGTAATGTTCGATGGAAAATTTAACGCGACCAAAGATACCGCTCTCGCGCTTGTAGTACTTATACCCAGCTGTAGCTAATAATTTACCTTGTCGTGAGAGAGGGAGAGAGTGAGAGAGAGAGAGAGAGAGAGAAAGAGAGAGAGAGAGAGAGAGAGAGCGACTCGCGCGATATACGCGTCCGTTTCAGCGGACTGATGTTTTGTTCTGCGCTCGCGCGGATCGGACTCTGTTGCACGATCGCGAGAAAGAACGGGCAAATTAGTACGTTTAATTATCACGGCGAGATGAAGGAGAAAAGACAATTATGTAGTATGTTTCCTTCGTAAACACTAGTCCGCTCGATTGTTAGAAACGGAACGGAACGGCAGCAAATGATATTCTCTCGCGGAGAGTAATTAAATCGTGCACAGCGGTCGAGGAATTTCAGATCTGTAACTGAAGAAGAAATCTCATTAACGCGCGCGCGCGTCTCTTTTCTCGTGCAAAAAAGTGCGCCCGTCGTCGGGCTTTCGATGCGACAAGCTCTCCGTCGCGAATCGAGAGTTACTCGAACGAGTTACTTGACATGCAGGGAGCATGTTCGCTGTTAAACAGCCCTAGGGTGATGACAGTCGCATGATCACGTCACAATACAAGGTAGTGTTAACAACAGAAGCGTACATGAGTTTTTTGACTTCGTAGGCGAGATGGTAGCCAGCGTATGCGGACTCCTCTTGCGATCTGGAATCAGAAGGTTTGCGTAACGTTGGATCTGTTCCCAAGTAATTTTTTTCTTTTTTTCTGATTTGGCCCACGATGAGAGAATGAGAGGAAGAGAGAGAGAGAGAGAGAGAGAGAGAGAGAGAGAGAGAGAGAGAGAGATGAGGGAGGGGGGGGCGAAGACGGAGCTAGAGGAAAAGAATGAGGGGGAAGAGAGGGTGGAGAAAGAAAGACAGAGGAAGAGAAAGATTATGATAAGATCAGATGGCAATGATGGGATGATTCCTCGGTGATTATATATTTACACTTATCGCGAATGTGATTTGACCTTCCGTTATTTCTCGAGGGAGATATCGCGACTCACGAGGATGCTGCATCTCCAATTGTACATCCGCGTTCACGATCGCACGCGCACGAGAGCGCAGCCAAAAGGGCGAATCCGCGATCTGCTCGGCAAAAAAGGATCGAATCTCCGATCTTGGAATAATAGCGGAAACTGCAGAAACTAATCTAGCGGGCGTGTAACAGGTTCATCGGAAAATGTCAACGACCACCTGTAGCCTGTTACTCGCATCGTCCGATAACATAGTAGTACGAGTGGCTATCGTTCTCGCGCGAACGATTTCTCCCGTGATTTATGCGAATCGTTTGTCGCTCAAGTTTGCGGCGCCCTTTGTCAGTAGCTGAGTGAAACGATGGGAAGCACCGATCTTTCTTTTTTCTTATTCGCTGTTATTTCCCACGAGATTGCAGCTAACACTTTGCCACGCGATATTCGATAGGTAAGAAGGGAAACACACATTCAGTATCTTTTGGAAGTTTTCGATAGAGATAGAATTAAAATGAAATTGCGAACGCGCTATGATTCGACAGATACTTTTGCATTGGTTTTCACACGCATGATCAGAGACGGATTCTCTTCTAGTAGAAATAACGGAGGCCGTGAAATATATATATATATATGTACATACGTAGCTCTCACATTGCACATGAAGATTGAAACGAAACGTGACAATGGAAGGCGAATGCGATGAATAAGCGACATTTCGTACGCTGCGACGCGTAATTTCTCTTGAAAACACCGATATCGCCGATATAATGTACTGCCAAATACAACGGTAATTATCAGCAAGAAACGATACAAACGAATAAAGAATAAATCCGGCGATATTACGAAATGCTTCAAAGAAGAGAGAAGAGACAGATTGCACGTTAAGACACAACGGTTTCGAAAAAAATGTAAGAAGATCCAATCGGATAATCAAAGGAGTAATTGAAAGAAAATATTGTTGTATGCAAGTACAACAAGAAAAAAAGTGTTATATATATCTTGACGAAATAACTGATTTTTAAAATACACAGTCCGCGGGAGCATTTCCGCTGAAATTTTTCAGGTCTTACGATTTCGTTCTCTCGGTGTATGCGAATGTGAGACTAATGCTCGATCATGAATGATGATTCTGGATCGCATCGAAGATCTCTACCGAGAATCGGCACGTTAAGTCTTTGCGGGTTATATGTGGATAGTACGTTCAACACTTTCAGAAACATGCTGACTCGAAGAAAACAGAAAAAAAGAACACGAATGCAGAGGTTGTCGATACACATTAATGTGCAGTTCGTATAGTATAGTGCACTCGATCAAAATGGGACGTTGTTTTATTAATGGATTAATATCGTACAGCTGAGAGGTGTGTACACGCATTTACTAAAGAAAACTAAAAGGCGCACGTTCAAGATTGCATTTACTCTGTGATGTTACGGTCATTCAACCAGGTTATTCAAAAAATCTGCTGCGCCGATTCATCAATCAGATCAAAGCGTTGCGCGCGCGACACATCGGCGTGCGCGCAGGGGAGTTCCCTTGCGAGAACGGCTTGACGAGATATCCCCGTGTCTTGTTCCTTCCGAGAAACTGTGAATTCCACTTGCGATTTGAATAACCCCTGTATACATGGTACGTACACGCGAAAGAGAGGGAGAGAGAGAGAGAGAGAGTGAGAGAGTAACTCTGTGTAACTCTAATCGTGCAGCTATAAAGGTTACATATGTAAGCTTGTACAATCGGAGTACAAAAATAATAATACATTGTAATACGACAGGATAGAGAGACAGATCAAGAGCGTACTCGAGATAGATATTTACATTCAAGCGATTCAAGAAAGCGGTTCACTTGTTCACAGTGTGTCGGTATTACATGTCGAGTGCACTGTAAATCTCTCGCTATAAAGTGACACAAACACGAGGGAAGGCGGAGAAAAGAATTGGAAAATCCGGACGCCGTATTTCTTTCTCGTCCTTTCCCCCTCCCGCCTCCCCCCCCCCGCCCCTCAGCAAGATCGTCCTTTTTTCCTTATTCTCGTTTAACGGCGGTTTTCTTTTTCCCCTCCTGATAATTCTCAGTAGCGAAATTCGCACGTGTCGGGATGCAAGACAGGCGTGTCATTGAATTACCCGGTGGATCAATGAAAGTCGCGCATGAAGATGTGTTCCTTCCGACGATGTGAATGATGACATTTGGATGCGTACATGTCAGGTGACGAGGGCGGAATTAGAATGCGCGGCGTAATTAGATACCTCTGATTATACGGCTGATTCGGACTGGACATGCTGTCGTTCGTCGCACGGTTTACGTTCGGCTTCACCTTGTTGACTTGCTTCGTCGAATTCATCATGGTCATCCCAACGGAGTTCCGATGATTTCTCATCGCTGCAACACAAGGAAGCAGTCTCGCAGTGGTGAACTACTGATCATCGAACGTCTGATCAACAGTGGTCAACTGATGATCGTGCGAACGTGCGATGCGGTAAAGACGCGGCGTGATTAACATTGTTGACGAAGATACTCGTATCGAATGGAAATGACGCGTATCCCGTTGCAAAGTTCTGAATAACTGCAGAAAGTCTTTCACGCGTATTATGCTACAATTACGTTCGCTTCAGAAACATGCATCCTCGTGTACCGCGTGTCAAACGCTTCGACGGTGTAACATATGCGGATTACACAAATGAGACTTACCATTCGGGTCATCTCGTTCGCGGCTGATCTCGCCTAAAATCGATAGAACAGCGTTAATTCGTATCTAAGCATCCTATTTGCCATCGATAATGGGCAAAGCAACAATGATCGAGACGATTAGAGTGTCACACTGATCGTGACCTAACTCCCCCCCATTACAGCGCGTATTATTTCCGTGATGATGAGCCTACAGCCCCATGCTTACAGGCGCGCATACCTCACCCTACACGTGTGCTTCGCATGTGCCGAACGATTTAGTAATTAATGGCGGCAATAAAGTCGGAAGCCTTCGCAGTCGCGCAGCTTTGACGCGCGAATTAAACGTTTCTTTCTTTTTATCTCTCTTTTGGCGAGCGACTGATGCGAAGAGATATTTATAAATCGAGCTTATTTACTTTCTGCGTGATTTTCGAATAAAACACAAAATTGTACAAGATGCACTCTTTTACGAAGAGATTATACTTTGAAATTCTATCATTCTGTTATAGAATAAGAGTTCGACATTTTTTTTTAATATATATTTTTCGCAAAATATGACGTCTAATATGAAGATTTGGTAGCCAATTTTTACGTTACGTATTCGTGATGACTCTTTACTGACTCGAAGGAATATTAATCTCGCAAAATTCCATAGTAAACGAGTGCCGGTGCAATATTTCTACTCATTATTTCGTATTGTGCATCACTCGATACATTTTCCGAAATGCAAAGGAATGGATATTTAACTCGCGCGAAAGTCGAGTGATTAAAGTGCAGCTTCAGAAAGAATTGCTGACCATTACGGCACTGTAAAAATTTATAGGAACAACATATGGCGCCTGTCGCGGTAGTTTCTTGAACATTTTCTGCGATGACAAAAATGAAAATATAAAGTGGATAATATACACATATATTTGCCAGATGTTATCAAAACCAAAAACTTTTATATTATAGGGGAACGATTAATCTAACGTGCTAGCTACAAATACTATAAATCCGCCCTCACAAAGGTGATACTATCGATCTCAAAAGCGCATTTCACAAAAATCAACGACTCAATCGTAGAACAGGCGCATTCTAAACGTTTGAGACGAAAAACTTCTATTTACGATACAGAGAAGTTAAGGGGAGAAATTAACTCAGTATAAAAGTACTCGAGCTAAAACAACGTTTCTCAAACTTGTTCCGTGGCTGAAAAAGTATCTGGTGACTCGAAATAGAGCTGTGTCTGTAATTTATCACGTCAAGCATCCCTCGAGGCGAATTGATCAGGATAAAATCGGGAATGGAATTCTCGCAGAGAATCTACACGAAAGCATGAGAAACGCTTGTGCAATTAAACGAGATCTACTTACGCAGACGAGCACCAATAAACATTTCGAACATTTTAATTATGCAAATTTCAGTCAATTCGCGTGACTTTAATTTGTTTTCGGCAGTTAACTTTTACATGTAATCCGTTCCCGTTATAATTTCCCCTAGAATTATTTGCCGTTTACGAAACGGGTCGATTTGTAGCAGAGACAGAATATTCCGCGACAACCGTTATTAATTAAAAAGGTCAAACAATTACGTAGATACTTTACGAAATATTGCCTGTTCATTTACTTTTTCGTACAGTAGACTTATCAACGCTTTTAAAAATGATACGCATTGTCCGTCGTACAATACGTAAATCTACACGGAAAGAAAGCTGTAAACCTTCTTCACAAACCAAGAAGTAAATTAATCACTACATTTTGTTCATCAGAAATCAAGTTGTAGCAAAAAATATCGAACGCTTTAAAGATCTACGAGCGAAAGAAAGAGGGAGAACGGCGGAAAAGAAATTTCGTAAGACTACCGAATGCTATTGCAATGCTATACTAAAAAACTGTGTTCTGTGCAATCATCTATCGTTTCAGCGATTTTCGAGATACAGAACAGAACGGTGACTCATCTCTCATAGGAAGATTGTAACAAGTAGAAAATAAAACAAACCGAAATAAATTAACATTAATATATAACGTGACGTAAATTATTGTAAATCAAAAGTGCACGCTACACTTGTGTGGTGGTGACCGAAACTGAAGCAACGGAAAAGTATGAACAGGTGTCGTTCGTTGAATCTATTGCGACAGCTGCATGCATTCGTCAATCATAATGGAGAAAGTAGTATACGCGACAAAAACACACGAGCATACGTGTCAAATTAAAAACGAAAAATTGTAACACTTGATTATTAATTTTTCCCACTTTCTCCAGTGTTCTCTCTCTAGCGGCGAGGAGAATCAGTGCGCCTTAAATTTTTTTATTGAAAGAAAAGGAAAAATGTGGAGGAGTGAGAGAGAGAGAGAGAGAGAGAGAGAGAGAGAGAGAGAGAGAGAGAGAGAGAGAGAACAAAAAACAATCGTAATCGCTATCACTCGATAGAACAAAACGTGATAAGAACCAATCGCTCAAGCGTGCTCGACGAAGCGGATAAAATGATCAAATTTCCGATGTCAGTCTTGAGCAGCGATTCTCTTTAAGCACGTCGTTTCTTTCAACCGTCGTTTCGGCTTCAACAAGCGACTTTTCGTCAGCGTGTGACCGTATGTATTGCGCGTAATTTGCCGATCGAAATCAGAGAGGGCAGCTTGCGAGACTGTAGCATGGTTTTTGATTGAGGTGTGACTGTACCTCTTACGTGAACCATCTTGGGCAGTTCTGGCGGAGTGAATGTGGGGGGAGGATGGTGGTCGTCTGTAACAAACCACTACACATGTTAGCTACCCTAACTAATTACCTAAGGCCTAATCGCTACTCTATTGTTGGACAGTACTAAATCTGCGATTGAACGGCTTGGAAAGCGAAGTTCCGTTTCAGCATCGCGCGCGTCTATCGATCGCAGAATCAGAAATCGCGACAGCGGACTTTTCTTATTTTACAATTTACTTTCATTACTCTTCAGTAGCGAGAACAGAAATAATAATAATTTGTGTGCTTACCTTGAGCTACGATCTACAATGATAACGAAACATAAAAAGATTAAAATTTGATCTGTCAGCGTGTTAACCGTTGAATTAAATGTACTTATATACACGTATAGTCATATGTACATTAAGTAGATCGAACGGAACGATTATCAAATATGACAATTAAATATGAAGGTAAAACGTTTACGATATCAAGCTGAAACGGCCTTTCATTAATTCTAATCAAATACCGTGTACGACTACTGAAACTGTCGACAAATGTGTGTGTGTGTCATTTTGAAAATCTAATTACAAAAACCCGTAACAACGTGGACGTGACGTGCGAATGAAATCAAAAAGAGAGAGAGAGACAGAGACAGAGAGAGAGAGAGAGAGAGAGAGAGAGAGGGGGGGGGGGGGAGGGGAAAAGAGAGAAAAAATGAGAAAAGGAAAGAGAGATTCCACGAGAATCTGCATATATTAAGAAGCGATTTTCGTCCACGTTGCGGGAACGTTACAAGACACGGCACTAAAATCGACCTACGATCATAAACATGCAAGTGTGCCCAAATCATTCCTAATTCATGCCAAGGGTGACGCAAGCGGAGAAGACGATGTTTAACGATCGCACAAGGAAACCGATTTCGCTTGTTACTTACGCTCGCAACGCGCAACAGCGCGGTGTAGCGCAACACGTTGTCGTCTCCACTCGCGTCCCACACGGTGCTATAACGTTGTGTTCTAAGCATGCAGAAGAGAAGAAAAGGAAAAGGGAAAAGAGACAGTACATGAACCTTACGCAGTGAATATTTACTCGAAATTGTCAGTGCGCGTGCTTTTGTATCCTCCGGCCGAATGGGCGGGGGCGGGGGGGGGGGCGGGAGAAGAGGATTCACGTGCAAAACGATAAAGGCACGTGCGAAAGCTCGGGTAGAAATCATAAGAGAGAGAGAGAGAGAGTGTGCATGAAAGATTATCGAGCTCTTCTATACTAAAAGCGCAGGGGGGAATCCTTCTGTCTTTTTTTCTTTTTCGGGGGGACTTTTGAGTTTCGAGTCCGCGCGGGAACTAGCCGTGTACGAGCGAACGATACGGGGATGCGTCGATCGCGATTCTCGCGGGCGACGTCGTCGGGACCGACGGTGAGGAGTGTGGACGACGAATGGAGGAGGCTTATGATGCGCGTGTGAAGCTTCCCTTGACGCACTTACTCGAGACCCGTTGAGCGAAACAGCGCTAATTAGAAGCGTACGGATGTGCCGCGCGCGAGCGCGAGCGTCGTCCTCGCTCGAACAGTCAAAGTGAGTGCGCATCGAAGCGAGACCCTCCCGAGAAAGCGGTTCCAACCACGCTGGCACCGCTCAGAACGCAACCCCTCGTTGTACCTCGCCGTTTATGTCGCCGTAAAACGCAACATTACGCGAAATTCGCCGGGACGACGATACGTATACGGGGAGACTAACGGGAGGAGACAGTTCGAATCGACGAATAAACTTGATGAGACGCATCGGCGGAATCATCGCGTTCGCAAAGATTTAGAAAATTAATTGAGATTAAATCGAGCAAAAGAATAGACGCGCACCAGGAGCTTTCCTTACACGTTTTATATTGTTTTTTACATGAATTTAGACAGAGACAGAGAGAGAGAGAGAGAGAGAGAGAGAGAGAGCATCGCACACTGAGAGAGAAGTATATGATATTTGGAACTATAATGATGGCAGTAACTAAATTATAGTCCGAAATATCATATTTGTAGTAAGTATTACGATAATATCGGTAATAATTACGATATAGGCACACTATAACCAACTATATAATATTTTTACTAAGAATTATAGTAAGTTAAACTAAAATTATTGTATGGATGGACAAATATAAAATGATAGGTAAAGTAACTCTTTTATATAGTCAATATTACCAGAATATTTGCTAAATGATGACAGATGTAACTATACGAATATTAAATCTCACTATATTTGTGAATGAGAAATTACCATATATGTGGTAAAAGTAACTAAACGATTATTTAAGACAATCATTGACTATATATTTGCGTTTATCCTACTATATTTTGCAGGTTCCACGAACTATAAAAATATGGTTGACGCCGAGATGAACTATAGTAGAAACATAGTGAGATTATAGTTAATTCAACTATATCTTTCTATCAGTGCACCCCCGAAAATCTACGTAAAATCGTAAGAATCCCCTTCGTCTCTTCGGGTGCGCCGTAACGTAATTATTCCTTAAACCGACGTGCAACTGACTTTAATACGATCCCTCCGTGAGCTCCACCCGTGACTCGACCCGAGATTGACGTGCCCGTAACGCGTTCTTCCTTGTGAGGATCCAGCGATACGAGCCTCCGACTATCCTTTTTCTCTCTCTGTCGATTCTCCGCGACGCGCGACGCTCCGCAACGGGAAGAGACGCGCGTCTCCGCGCGTACGATCGAACGCAATGGGTCTCGTCCCGTAAGCTTGAGCCAGAGCGAGTCGATTCGCAGCGTTTCCTTCGGAGATGAAGCGAGTCGGAAAATCGGAGGATCGATCAAGCGGCGTGTGTATTTGAATAAACGTGCACAAGGTGGTACGCTTCATCGGCAGGTGCGCCTGCGGTGGTGACAGCGTGTTGCACCGTGAAATCGACTCGACGTGGAACCTACCCGCTCGCGCATTAGAAACACGATCAACGGTTTCTACGACGCGCCTTGCAACGCGTGCGTGCAACGCGTCGCGCCTATAAAGTCTGAACTTGCGTCCTCCCGTGAGAGACAATCCTCGCGCGGCCGCGGCGCGGCACGTGTACGTGAGAGAGCGACAGTTATACGTATGTAAATATGTATACAAGAGGTAGGAATGCATATAAACGTGTTAATTTTATACATAACACACCGGCGCTCTGGCTGAACTTACTTGCGTACGAGAGATCTTCACCTATGCGGTAGTGGAGGAGATGAAGAGAAGATAGTTCGGACAGATAGAGACACATATAGAGAGAGAGAGTTAATTAAAGAGTCTGGTCTGGCGGTTCACGTGTGTGTTAGTTCTGTCGTGAAAACCCGTGCGCGCGCATGTGTGTGTACGTATTAATACGCTGCTTTTTTCCTTTTACTCTCTTCGCGTCAATCCACCGGTGTATATGCGCGGCTCGCGTGTCACGTGTGTGTATATGTATTTATATATATATATATATATGTGTGCGTGTACGTGTGTGCACTTGACACTTAATGCGGATGCTGATAATGCGTGTTCCGTCTGCGTATGAATCGAATGAGCCGCGTGATATGAGCGTGTGTATGTATTGCGTGTAGGTGTGTATTACGCAGCTCGAAATGAGCGATGCGAGTGACAGTGTGGTGGAGATTATTAGTCGTCGGCTCGCCGATAGTCCTGTTACCTGCGTGTTACCTCTCTTACGCGCGCATCGCTCACGTGTAATTCCGTCGTATCGAAACATCGTGAGGACCGATGCTCGCGAGATCGGCGAGCGTCGATCCCCTTCTAAGCGGGAAGAAATTGAGAGAGAGAGAGAGAGAGAGAGAGAGAGAGAGAGAGAGACAGAGATAGAGAAAGAGAAAGAGAGAAAAAGTAAAAAAAAAAAACGGTATGGCAATCGGAGTAACGGATATGAGCGACGGTACATTATAACGTTTTCATCGATATTTACGCCGATGGCGAAGCAAATTGCTCGCGAGGCCGCTCCGATAGCCAACGCTCTTTTTTCTTTTTTTTTCTTTTTTTTTTTTTTTTTACGGCGCGGAACACTCGTTGACGCGCGCGAAAGTGCATTATTTCGCCGTTAATCGCTCGCGAGGGGAAGGAGGATATAACGTTCATCTGACCATAATAAAACGAATAGGCGCGATCGCGCGGCGTTGGTCGGCATGACGACGACGGATTCGCGTACGTTCAAAGAGTGCTCTGCGAACTTTCGGGGGACACACATACGTAAGTAATTCAGGTACTTCATAAAGCACGGCGACACTCATGATTGTCACGGGACATTTGCTACGACGTCGAAAATATTCGAGGGATACACCGAGGCCGAATGTTACAGGTTACGTGTCGGCGATTACATTTTACACGAGAGTCCTTCGGTATCAACGTTCGTTGTCTCTCTGCCACAGGACGGGTTATATAAAGTTCCACGCACAATAAAGAGGACTAGTACTAAAGTATTCGCTAAGTTACACGTCGAGTTATATATTAGATATCGAACACCGATGCAAGGTCAATTGGAGGTAATAAGTTTCAGACTCAAGGCAGTCACATCACGCGGGTTCTCAATTGAATTAATTTCAATAATTCACTCACAACAATAACCATCGAGTAACATTTACAAACTTTCAGGAGAACTACATTCAAAAACGACACTGATAATATAGTAGTAGTGTGTAATCTCGGTTGCAAAAATAGTTAAGAACACCACACCAATAGGGACTCAAACACTAACGACGGTGTCTACGTTGGAACCATTTATCAATTCGAAAGAACTTTGGCAGATTAGCACAACGACATCGATCGTTTCCTTTCTTTTCTTTTCTACTTTATTTTTCATTGTCACGGGTCTCGTCACGGGAGATGTGGACTTTATGACAATAGAATGGACGTTACGCAATTAGCGACAACAATCTCTGTGGCGTGTCTCTCACACACACACACACTACACACACACACACACGTTGTGCTAGTCTTGTTTTACGGGAGATGTGGACATTGATCTTCGTTGTTTCGTCTTTCGTTCGAAAACGTTTAATTTACGACTTAGGAATCGCGAAGAACTTATTAATGAAACAGGCCTTGACGAGAGAAAGAGGGAATCAGAGAGAGAGAGAGAGAGAGAGAGAGAGAGAGAGAGAGAGAGAGAGAGAGAGAGAGAGAGAGAGAGAGAAAGACAGAGAGAGAGAGAGAGAGAGAGAGAGAGAGAGAGAGAGAGAGAGAAAGAGAGAGACGGAAATTTATCGTCAATTACCAAGAGAAAAAAGATAAATAACATATAAGCGATCAGAATTTATCATCAACTCGTCGTAAAATAAAATACGTAAAATTTAACGCCGTATAAAAGTTACGAACGTTTATACCGAGCTTTTATAATCGTCAAGGCCTCTTCGTGAACTCGTTTCAAGATACATTGACTTTGATGCAAACTTACTTTCAAATTTGAATTTTGAACAACGCGCACTCGTTAAATAAACGTCGTAAAATCATTAACAAGACCGCCATGGGCATGACCTTTGAATCGAAGTTACTCAATGAGAAATTTGCTAATATTATAAATTTATATCGAGTACAAGAGAATGTGTATTACGCCGGAATTATACCATGCAAATGTTTCAATACATATCATGTGTAAATTCCTCTCCCGCCTTGAAATAACTGTATTATATCATAAATTCGCGAAGAATTTCACATATTCACATAAAAAAATTACAAATATATATTTTTATATTATAATGTATTCTTTGTGAATCGTTAGTGAAAACAGCAGACGTTACTTTTATTTGGTTATTCAACTTGGTTATTCACACACAGTTATAATTTCGTCAAGTTAAAGCGTTTCAATAAGAGCGCTAATATTTCGACTTAAAGTTATCGACTCAAAGGCCATTGCCATCGCAATTGACAAATTATAGTTTTCTTTTCTCTTCTTTTTTTTTTGTCTTCCTCTTCGCGCTTTGCAATCGCGTCCCGCCCGACGAGAATTTACTCTTCGCGAATCTCCGCGTTAGGATTAAGATAAAAAATGACACTTGGTACACAGTCTACACACGGGGGATACGTACTTGCTCTTCCAACCATCTGAACAGCTCGCACGCCTTTCCGGAATGTGGCCACTGCCCGAAGGGAGGAGAACCAGAGCTGTTAGTTGTCACACCAAAACAATGTCAACCTAGATGCGGGGGTCTCAACGGATGTAGGGTTTGGGGGTTAAATCCGTCGTCCCGATCGATATGTCACGTTTAGCACTCAGTCAATACACTAAGAGACTTATTTTTATGAAAAAAATCTAGACTATTAGAAATCGTTATTAAAAGTTATTAAAAATCGTTAGTAAAAGTTATTAAAAGTTACGCGTATTTCTCTCTTCTTTTCTTTTCCTTCATATCTCTCGATCGAACCTCTTGATCGAATTCGAGCTTCGAATTCGATCGTTCGTGTGACCAGTGTATTCACAATAGTCGCAATTGTATTCACAATAGCTCGATTGCTCGTGATTGCTCGTGGCAATAAGTCATGCGTGCGTATTTAGTTCATACAGAAGCTCTCGTCATTGAAAGAAGCATTAGAAGTAACTTTCGGAGGGAAGATCTGGCAAGGCCGAGCGTCGCAGATTTCATATGTCACGAATACATTCCGTTCCATAGACCCTCTTGCGAAAGTGTCATCGTGGCTTACTGTAACGTGACCTTCGATGGAGAGATTTATTATTAACACTGGTGTTACAATCATTGCATAATTTACTTCGGCCTACTGTGAGGGTCGCAACATTTAGAGATCGTATATCTGCGCTGTGCGGTTAAACCACGTATATCCAGGAGAATATCTCGCATTGTGAAAAAAAAAATATATATATATATGTATAGAGAGAGAGCGAGAGAGAGAGAGAGAGAGAGAGAGAGAGAGAGAGAGAGAGAGAGAGAGAAAGAGAGTGTGAGAGATACGCTTTCTCAAAAGTCAATATCGGTTGCAGTGTCGGCGTTATTGTTGTGATGTTGGTGAGTGGTGTCAAATATGCTCGATATGTGGAAAGGGGAAATGAGATATTTTTAGCCGATGTGTGTTCGATAAACCCTGGGCATCGATTATCATCGTCCCTGTATAAGCTGTATAAGCTTATGTCTTCGGTGCTTTCGGTTGCGTGCTCTGTACCCAATTAATCACTCGCGCACAGCGACATTGAAAGTATATCACGGAAACGAAATTTCACGTGCACGAGCAGAAGATCGATGTCGTGCTTAATAACGTACCTCCGCCGCGTGTAGATTCGTCTTTTTCTCTTTTTTAAAATATCCTGAATGTCGAAGTCGAATGGGAAGAAGGAATAAATAAATAATAACACGTAACGATACGTCCGGGCTTCTTGACAATTATGCTCGAAGTGAGAACTTGCGTATAAAGCATGTCAAGTAGAGTAAGAGTACATGTCGTATCCTTTCAACTGGGTGCAGAAAAATATTTTGTCAATGCAGCATATTCGAACACTGGCGCAAAATTCTCAAACGACGGGCGTCCCTAACCACAATCTAGTCTTGTAACCAATACTGCGACTTGCAAATCGAATCGGGTGAACGAAATAATGCCAAAATTTACTGCGTTAGCTTGACTTGAACAACGATTAATTATAGAACTTGTTACGCAAATCGAGCGATATACAAGGACGCTTCCTGCGAAAGTTGACACCAAGATGACTTTCCGATACCTTTGCATCTGCATTTTGCATTTTTGCGTGTTCGTACGACGACTCTTGGCGGGACAACTTTCACGAAGAAATGTCCTCCAATCTGTGCAAAAACAACGTTTACATAATAAATATATCAATATATATATATACAAGGCGACCCAAAGGGACCCAAAGAGACAGCGTTCAACTTTGCTGCTGATACAAAAGGGATATGTAATACGAAATAAGTGATATATTATTGGGCAACCTTATATATAGAATGACACCCCATTTCGCCAAATTGTCGCACGATCGTTATCAACGTGACGGATAGAACGTGTCGGAAGGTGTTTCAGGCCACATAGGAAGGAGTGCGTAATTGACGGGCGACAATTTGGGGGAATTGCGGCGCCAGGAGTAATGTAAATTATTAATAAAACTCCACGTAAGCACACTGAAACAACCGTTAAGAACGATAATTGTTAGCAAGCACCTGAAACACGGTATCGTACGAGCGAAGCTCGTCGATTGGTGATACGTGGCAGCCATTCAACGTGAAGACACAAAGTATACATATGTATATAGTCATAGATATATATGTAATATATATTTATGTACGGCTCGGCAACGTGCAAGAATGCGTTTTCTGCGCGGAAGCGACCACTGTATTTGCGATGAACGGAAGCTAAACGTTGCATAATAGTTGATCGATTTGCGACGTTATGACCGTCCGCTCGTCCAACCGGCGTGCTTGTTATACTCGGCCTCGGCCCATGTGTCGAAGTAGAAGAAGCGGCCAACAATGTTAATGCTACGTAACGTAACAGTATGCTGCTTTTATTATAAGAGGGTGATGCTCGATAACTCGCTCGTGTTATCAGCCATCAGCTCTAGCGAAAAGCCCAACGATAAATAGTACGAATCGAGCGGGTCCAAGTGGTGGATATAGAGAGAAACAAAGAGACAGAGAGAGGGAGAAAGTGAGAGTGAGAGAGAGAGAGAGAGAGAGAGAGAGAGAGAGAGAGAGAGAGTGAGAGAGAGAGAGAGAGAGAGTGAGAGAGAGAGTGAGAGAGAGAGAGAGAGAGAGAGAGAGAGAGAGAGAGAGAGAGAGAGAGAGAGAGAGAGAGAGAGAGAGAGAGAGTACTGAGTACAGGTAGTGTGGAGTAAGTGCACGGTGGTAGTGAGTCCGCCGGTCTGACTATTGTACATTCGCTATCACTTACGCCATCTTACCTCGTTAAATATCAGGTCAGGTCTGGCTGGCTCTGCCGGAAACGGTAATTTTCCGTGATATTTCGGACAAAGCGGTTATTGTTATGTGTAAACGTCGATAGCTGCGCTTAAGATCGAGATTCTCTCTCTCAATGGCATCTGACTCACTGACACGGAAAGTATATACCGATTCCGGCAGAACGCTTTTTCGTCGGGACAACGAACACGGGTCTGATACGTCTGATACGCGATCGACGCAGAAATGCAGAAATGTGATCTTTAAAAAGGCAAGAGTTGCGAACGATATTTCGTCGATTGAATGTTATCGAGAATCGAAACGTCGTGTTCGTTTGTGCCGACCAATTCTCGCAGGAGCTGCGACGGATGGGTGTGTGTGTATGTGTGTGTGTATATATATATATATATATATATATATATATATATATACGGGATATGAACGGGATAGAAGAGGAAGTCGGAAACAGGCATACCGTCGAGGTAACTGCTGTAGGCAGTGTTTCCCTTCACCATGCCGGTCTGCATCATCATCATCCCCACATCTGCAAAAATCCAGCGATCGACCCAGACACGGGTTTGTAAGTGTACAAATAAACGCATGAATAAACGTATTTACACAAGGGGTTGGGGGCAAGGAGGGCGGGGGGAGGGGGGCAGGGACATGAACGATCGACGCGTCTTTTAGTCACGTAGCTTCTGCGGAATTCGTATGTGCACGTGCGTGCGAACGGAACGATAAAGTTATATTTATGTGTATCATATCACACATGAACGTTCAGTTTCATCAAGAACGGATGAATACGCGATAATTCCTGCCGTCGACGAGAACAGCAAAAGTCCAAATTGATTCTACGGATCAACGCGTCGTCTCAGCAAGGCTGGTGTCTCTCTCCTTGGAAAGGAAGTGTTCCTGCGCGTACACGAAGATTCCGCGCACGTCGTTCACGTACGAATCCGCGCACGGCATTAGTCACAATATGAACGTTCAATCACATAAATAAAGAAACGGATACACTCGGTATACATAATCCAAGATAGGCAACGCTGAAAAGATGGCGAGAAAACAGAAAAGAAAAGCTCTCGCTCATCCCGGATAATGGTTACCTTCGGCGTCTCCTCCTGCTACTTCCGCCCAGCGGATTCTTCGGCGGAGGAGAGGTAGAAAAAAAAAAATAAAACACCTAGAATCTCGGATCGAATTAGCATCCGTCGCGTGTCACGATCGACATCGAGATCACGCACGTCGTCCGGTACTCGAGTGAGATAATCGAGTACGGGAACGTTGATTGCCCAGGGTTTAGGGTAGTACCGTTTCCTGTACATGGACGGTTAGGTCTGATCTGTGTGACTGGTTAAACGCAAGTCGCTATCGAGGGGGGAAACTCGTGTGGATGTAGTGTACATGGGTGTGTACGAGTGTTCGCCTGATGCGATGCGGTATGTCGCGTGTGACATGGACGGAATTGTCGGCGAGCGAGGGTGGCCCTCTCCGAGGTCTCTCCCCGAAGTGCCTGAGAACGGCGACGGCAGTGGCGGCGGCGGCGGCGGCGGCGGCAGCGGCGGCGGCGACGGCGGCGGCGGTGCCGGCACGGGGTCTCTCTCGTCGTTCGTGGGAACGAATGGGAATGCTCCTGCCGTTTGCGCACCCGCACCGGGCGATCCAATTTCACGATCGGCGCGCCGATTCGAGGACGAGAAACGCTCGACAAACGTGAGACAACGCGCGCGCGCGTGTCGGAGAGAAGACGCGCGCGGCTCGATCGCGACCGATCGATCGGCCGATCGATCGGCAAGAGATCTCATCGATGTCATAGCTAGTTACGCGTTGAAAAAGGAAAAGAGAGAGAGAGAGAGAGAGAGAGAGAGAGAGAGAGAGAGAGAGACGGGGTGAAAAAGAGACAAAGAGCTGGCATACGATCGAAGAAGGTAATTTCGGAAAAAATGGAGACAGCGAGAGAGAGAGAGAGAGAGAGAGAGAAAATAGACAGTGGGGCGAGGGGGAGGGGGCGGAGATGAAGACAGACAGTGATCGAGAAAGAAGCTGTCATTACCATTATGGCGTAAACGGGTCCGAATCCGGGAGCTAGTTCATGCATGCAAGGCGAGCGAGAGGGGGCACACACTAATAGTGCAGGCTAGTTTTCGTTCTCGGTCAGGTGGACATGCGCCAACTGACTGAACTATCGGGAATTACATGTCGAGCCGGTACTTCATTTTTCACCTCGTCATTTCACCTCGCGATCGGAGCGAGCACAGAGATTACTTCGGGTCGGGATCGAGTGATTTGATCGCAATGTTACGTAACATGGAGCAACTCGACCCACTCGAGTCCGAGCGAGTGCGGCGAGTGCGTTCTACTTGGACCACTGCGGAAAACGAATACGTCCGCTCTTTCGTGGTAGCTTTAATCGCCGCGCCGCGCCGTCACGATCGATTTGAGCTCGTTTGCGCGAAAATACCAATAATATTATACCGCGCGTACGCGTCGATGAGCCTCTCTCTCTCGACGCTCTAGAGAACGGTGTGACGGTGAAAAACGAAGAAGCACCCGATCGTAGCATCGCCTTGGGTATTGTGTCTTGCAATGGGGATCAGAGATGCAATCATCGTCGTATCGTGATCATCATCGTCATTATGATAATCACCACCTCGTAATCATCACCTTGGCTTGTATATGCAAGAGATTGGTCGAAGGCGTGTATGTATCGATGAGATACAGAGAGATAGAGAATATATAGATAAAGTGAGAAACGACAGAGAAAGAGAGAGAGAGAGAGAGAGAGAGAGAGAGAGAGAGAGAGAGAGAGAGAGAGAGAGAGAGAGAGAGAGATAGGGATAGGTAGATAGAGATAGATAAAAAGAGACAAAAAGATGGATAAACGAAGGAAAAGAAAGGGGGAGGGCCAAACTCAACAGAAGGACAGAGAGAGAGAGAGAGAGAGAGAGAGAGAGAGAGAGAGAGAGAATAGATCGCGCAGAGAGCGCGAAACAAACAGAGAGGGTTTCAGTACAGAGGCAGAACAATAATATATAGTATAGAGAAACGGTCGTAATAGGTCGGGCGAGTTAGTTGGTTTGATGCTCGGCGAATAGGAAGGGCGGTTCAAGAGCCAGATCGTATATATAAAGGGTAAAGAAGATAAAAGAGTGAACAAAAGTGAGTCAAGAGATAGTCACAGATGAGAGATAGTAAAGTATCAGACTTAACGAACGAGAGTGTGAGACGTTACCTAAGTCCCGGCCCCAGGAGCGCTGCTGCTGCCCCACTAGATCATATATCACAATAGGATGGTCACAACCATGTCACTTTGTTAATAGTCGCAAATATTACTGTTATCGCTCTCGATCGGACAGAGGTTTCAAGAGGGCTGAGCCGTCATAAAGGCAAAGGGGATATGAGGGGTCAGGTAGGCTCGAGGGCTCGAGGGGGTGTAGGCGGGGCTGGGGGGATAAAGAGAGCTTTCTGCGTGATCCGTTTGCGCATTTCCGTATGCATAATTTCACGTATAGACGTTACGTATAATCTCTTACAGCGAGTCACAGCGACGGCAACGCGACGGCTCTGTCGTTGACGGACGATGAGGGAGAACGAGGGAGATTAGCCGCGCGTGTGACTCGCAATGCTAACGATAGATCGAGCGCGTTCTATGTACATATGTGTACAGTTTTATATATATATGTATATGTTAGAGATATATAGACATATGTATAAACTCCGGTACAGAGAAGTACGGATACGTCGTTTAGTAGAAAATTTGGCAAAAATCGAGAAAAGGTTGTTTATGAGGATCACTGGATTAGAAAGACTTACAATTTTTGCACTTGCACTTCTTGATCAGAGTCTCGTCTTTAATATCCTCGTGGCATACTTTGCAATAGAACCACGCCCTGGGAACAAGAACAAAGGAGAGACATATTATTACTCGTGCTTGTGAATTGTGACGAAAGGAGATCGCTCAGGATCGCGCCAGTTCGTTCGACAGAGAGCCGAATTGTCCATCTGACGAGAAAGATCGGACAATTCCGTAGTTAAGTGTCTAATTGCGGAAAGTACTTGCACACTTGTTTTGCCTAACGAAATGGCGCAGATAATGGCAGAACCCTTCAATCTCAGTTCAAGACAACAGCAACGCGATTGGACGCGATTTCATCTCGTTTGGTAAAGCCTCATTCGTGCAACTAAATTATGATCAAGCTGCAAATGCGCTGAGCAAGATCAATCGAATGAATAAATATTCGAATGAGCCTCTACTTATATTGAATCTTCGTGTAACTCTTACCGCTTCACTTCGTCAGCAGATTGAGCAATGAAGAATCCCTGAGTATTTGCAGCGATCTTGGCACCACGTGGGTTAATCGAGATTTTACTGTCGGAGCCTCCTTCGCCTTTTATCTCGATGGCCAGCAGTAAGAGCTTCAGTTTCGTGAAGCACAACCTACGACGAAGTCATGCGTAATATTTGATGCCTCGCGCGAGTTGCTAATCGGGCGTCACAAGCTAACGGAAAGTTTCGCGCGTATATAAATTTTACTTGTTTCTTATACGATATACTCGATAGACGTGGTAACATTGTACGCAAGAGAGTGGCGATCGGCTACGTGAAGCGACTAGAATTATTGCAAACACGTCGTTGATAATGAGTTGCGTACTAATAAACATGATGATGCGCGATAATGTCGCCGAATTTCTCCGTGACAATAGCGTTTATCATACGAATAATAGAGTTCAGCATTTTCAGAATGATAGTTGCGGAATTAACTGGCGGATAGAATTCGCAAGAGCAAACAGAAAAAGTCACGATGAACGCACAGTTCCAAGATACTGTCTCTAATTGTATAAACTACACTTCCTTGCGCTGTTCCTTCGCTTCTAGCTGCAATTAGCGATCTTGTTACTGTCGAATAAACGAGGAAAGGGATTTTCTGGCGGTTTCATCGCGAATTCAAGCGAAAATTTGTCATGCGGACGTCACCCGATTCGAATCTGTTCGCGGCCACGATCCTTCCAATCAGTGAAAAAGACAACACTGACGCGATCGCGCGCTGTGGAGATTGCTCTCCGTTTCATGTCTCTAATATCGGTGTTCATAGTCCTTCCTTATCTTGAGAATGGAGGAAGCCTCGATGAAGGATTCCTTGAATCTCGAAGGCCATCTTATTTCATAAATAATGGATCTCGAGTCTTCCTTCCAGAAGGAAGAAAGGCTGCGTTCCGATATTCACTGTCTGTACTGAAACTCTATAATATACGTGACACGAGCTGTAGATTTTTAGTACTAGCAGCGGATATCGAAACGCGGCTATAACTTAGCATCAGTTTAGCAGTGCATATTGCAATATGGATAAAGATAATAAAAGCGTACATTATACGGAGCAAGAGCGAATGCTCTTGGTGCAGCTTGTCGTTGAGCTTACCGAAAAAAAGAAATAATCCTTCGTCAGAATTATGTAAAAATTCGCTGTCCATTATCCTTTTTTTCCTTTATATACTTACAGTTTGAAAGCGCGACATCACAAGTAAATTGTAATGGGACAGAAGTAAGTATTGCAGGTTGTGTTTAGTTTATTCTGCGCATCATGTTCTGAAAACTTATTGCACTTTTGTGCATTAGTTCAGCGAAGTGCAGCGAAAACGAACAGATTTGAGGTAACATTTCCTCCCGAAGGAAGCTCGTGACTTCCCTTGAGATAAGAGAGCCAGTAAGGCTTCTTGTTTGGTCAAGGAAGGTTTATGAAATGTAAAAATGAGGAATAAGGAATCCTCATTTCTCAAGGAAGGACTATGAATATACGGATATATGTCGATCCGTTCACGAGTTTCGTCTCCTTGACGTTTCGATGCGCTCGCTGCAAGCGAGCGCCAAGTGCACTCGCTGTCACGTTTGCTAGTCAGCTAGTCACGCCGTTCAGCGAGCACCACGTGGTCGAGCCACCACGTGGTGGCGATGGGGCTGCGCGACCTATCCGTGAGTGGGGACAAGGCCGCGACCCGTGAATTAGACGAACTTCTCAGAATCACGGTGGGGAATGCGGACGCGCTAACCCACCCACATGACACGATGTTCACAACAGGTGTTGATCTATAGCACGTAGCGAGTATCAACCACCGATCCCGGTTCAGCAGTGCTGTTCGATACGCACGCCGATATTTTCGTTTCTAGTAGTAGTCATAGAGACTTCCGCAATCAAGCGCTGGAAAGCTAAGACTTTCGCGCTTTTGATGCCCGAGCACGTGTTCATCGAAACGTTCTCATTTGCTCCCGCATCTACCAGCTCGATCTTTATCTACAATTCTGAAATATCCTATACAATAGATGAACAAAGTACCGTTGCATTTTTGCATTGCATTTACGCCAATTGCTATTAATATGAGAAATTATTCGAAATGACTAGCCCGAAGACAACTCAGTATCGTATATTTATTTGGAACAATGAAACTTGAATTTAAGAAGAGAAGAGCTACTGTGAAGTTTGCTGTCGTGTAATAATGAAATATGTGTGTACATCCTATTGAAGAATTATATATCTTTACGATACAGGCAACCTACGAATGTTACATTTATGCGAATGCAAGTTTCATTGTTTGTGCGACAAGTGTTAAATACAAACGGGACATAAAGTATATTTTCATGTTATATTTTGATTGAAAAATAATTTATATATATATATATATATATATATATATAGAAACATATAAAATATATGTGTTAAAAACTGATATAATAGCAATACTAAATCTCGTAAAATTTTCACAGAGATTTCATAATTTATTGTACAAGACTTTTCAAGAAAAAATAATATATAAAAGAATGATACAAATCGTCCGCCTTTATTTGTTGCACCTGATATTAGTCTACTGCATACTTCATGTTCGTTTGAAACTATTCGCGGATAATGTGTGTTAGATAGTAAGATACGTGTATGCACCCACAGCGTAACGGGACTTTGATTATCACCGAGAAAGATAAAACTCAAAGATCAATTTCAGTTGAAGTATCAAAGTTCTTCAATGCGCTCAACGACGATTTAAAAACAAACAGTGAAACTTATCAGTATTATTCGAATTTAATTGCATTCAATGCCCCGTTATACCACCTCGGCGATAACAGAATGTTAAATCATGCAAGCGTACGCACAACATATGTTAAGAGAGACAGAGAGACAGAAAGAGAATATATGATGAATTAATCACAAGCTATCATGCAAGAGAGTCTTATGTAGACAATCATTACTTATCTAACGATACGAGTCGAAACATGCCAAGAGATTGGAAGTTTCTATCGCTTTTTAGACTATTATGCTCTAACTTCCTAATCTACTTCAACGTCCTAGAAGGCATTTGGGAAGTTCCGCACGTCCATCAAAGGATCCAACGGATTAACTAACGTTTCACAAGCGTTTTATATATGTACGACTGTATACAGATATTATACGGCGTAAAGATAGTAAAGGTAATTATATGGTGTTCATTGTGAAGAGCGCTTCTTACAAGTAGATCTCTCACACACGCAAACCAAATGGTGGCAGTAATCCAAGTGTGCGCATAAATGAAAAGAGAAAAATTCGGAGGAATCGCGAGAAAGTCTTCTGTCTTGCGAGTGACGACGCGAGGCACTGATCTCTATACGCTGGCTGCAATGTCGCTGCGCAAACAATAGGAAACTCCAATTTTTCAACGTTGCTCTTCCCGCGAAATTCCCCTCTTTTGTTCACAAATATTTCAATTAGTCCCAGGAGATATTTCCATGGCCAATGTTTTCTTTTGAATGACTAAATTTTTAAGGATCGTGAATGTATATGTAAAAAATCTGAATTTTTATCTCAAATAGCTTATAACTGGAAAATCATTGAGAAATTCGAGACGACTTTCACATGGTTTCTTTAGAGGTAAATGAAGTGTTTAGAAAACAATCTCGGCGCATCCGGTGTCTAGAGATCAGTGACGCGATCGAGTAGGTAGGCGAATACGGTGCAATTCAGACGGCTGAGAAAGGCTGTCGATAGAACGGCGCAACTACTTTCGTCGTTAGAAATCTCGTGGTTCTCTTGGACGTAAAATTATTCATTGAACGAGCTTTGTATAGCGATATACACATTCCACACTGTTGACTCACGATACCGAGCAATAATATATACTGTATATACTTTTCACTGTGCCGCAATTATTTTTTCATATTATTTCGAATTATTTATGTGACATTTATATCTTTCCGCTAAGAGAATCGTCTCTCGTTGCGGTATCAATGCGAGAGAAAGACGTCAATTTTCTCTTTTTCGGCACATTCCTTGATTGTGCGTTTATCTTGTCGTACATAAAATACATTCTCCCCATGTACTTTCTCCGTGCAACGTACTCGATCCTTTTCACATAACGTCGTAATCCCGAAATCGCCGCGTGATTGCGATATTTCGATTAACTTTCATCGTGTGCGTTCCAATTTCAGCGAGCAGTTTTTCACGGGATTCACATTAGTATTCGCGGGGAGAGCGGCATGTTAACGCACTCGTACGTCGACGGTACTTTACACGAAAACGTAACTGCAAGTTCGATTAAAGACCGCTTTAGCGAACGGCGGCGTGAGCTAAGTGATATCACAATTTCACGATCCGAGTGTGACAGCCACGATCGAATACCATCCGTACATTTCTCCAATAACCTGTGTGTCAATGTGTTATACGAGTAATATAAATCTCACATACTTTTACACGGTAAAGAGCAGCAGGCATGCGTGTACAAAGAACGCGCATTGGTTAAAAGAAGATTAGAACGCTACATCTAAGAACACACACCATCACAAGGATACGGACATCGCCGATAATGAGACAAAAACCGACAAAAACCGCCCGTTATGTCACAAGTTACGAGGGTGTTCGCGTAAAGTTGCAAAGAAAAAAAGAAACATGAAAAATGGGATTTGCCCATCGAAGTTTCCCTTTCCCCGGGTTGCCCCCCTCCGCCTCCCGGCAAAATCAAAAATCCCGTGCGCACCCGCGTTTCTTTCTCATATCGTCATACGTTGCGCCGCAAAAAAAAAAAAAGTGGGAAAAAAACGGTGATGTTGCTTGTCGAAGCAGGATGTAGACGATTTACCAAGGCGAATGCGGATTTCGCAACGATATATGCACGCGCGCGTCTGATTGCGACTAGTTAAAAGTTCGCGGGAACGGCCGTCGGTCACGTTACGCTGCGACACGATATTTCGCCCGGCGATTTGAGATTAAAACGTTCAAGGTCGACGATCGAGTCATATCCGTGACATTTAATGCGCACATGTTATAAACTACGCGGCGGCAAGATCCACGTAGCGACTCTCCGCAATTTAACGGTCACTGCGTTTCTTTTTCCCCGTTACGACCACCTTACTGCCGCTTGTAATATTTTTCCATTGGAACTATTTTTTTTTACGACGACCATAAAATCAGAATTCTCGGAAAG